TAGTGAGATAATTTTACTTATTACAATTACTTAAAACAATAATGTCTATTAATAAGGTAATTAATCTTAAATTGAGCTTACAGCAAACTCAACAGGAGATATACTAGATTTATTGACTATTTTTATGATTTTACTTGACAAGATACTATTTTTTGCAGTGCTGTGAAAATGTATCCCACTTTATATGAACAGTCACTTTAATCCGTACGTTGTCCGCTGTTTTATTCTTCTCTGCAGTTGTGTTTCTAAAGCACTAATGTTAATTATCAGTGCACACACTACTTTAACTGCTGCTGTGGACCTTCAGCTGGTCTCTTTTCTCTTTTGTCCTGTGCTTAAATGGATAAATATGGGCATAAATCCATGCAACTTTCCAAACAGACACAGCAGCAATTTAATTTGATTTATTGCTTCAATTTTATTCGTCCATTGTCGAGAGTGTTCCCACGTCATCTATTACAGTGTGGTAAGGAAATATAAACACCCAGACCTGTAATAAGGCAAGGCATTGTGAGTAAAGCTTCAAAGATAACTGGAATATCACTTCCTTCAGCTGACTGTGTTCACATTCAGCACACCCTGAAGTGGCGAAGAGAGTAATTACAGAATCCTCTCATCCAGTGAACCGTCTTTTCCAAACTCTTCCTTCTGAGAGGCGCTATAGATCCAGAAAAACGAAGACAATCTGCTTCAAGAACAGCTTTTTTCCTACTGCTATGAGGTAATATTACTGTGCGATTGATCTTGATTCTTCTATGTTAAATCTTCTGTACTGTTTACTGTATGTAGCTGCGGTCAGAACAAAACATTGTACCTCCAAAATGGTAACTTTACAGGAGAAGGAAGAAACATAATCTACTTTTAATGTAAGTCAATGGAACCAGACGTCTTTCCAAGTCATTTTGGGCTGTTTCTTTTGGTCCATTGATTGTGAAATTTACATACAATATACAGGACAGTAGGTATTTTCAAATTATGTCAAAAACTGAAAAATGGAGATCTGAGGTTTTCTTACGACAACAGCGATATATACTGTATGTTTATGTGTATTGTGTCTGCTACAATAGAGTTGAATTACATCTTGTTGCAACATGTGCAATAAAAAGAACCAATTAATCAATCAATCAATCAATCGATCGATCAATCACTCAACTGATGTCAAAACATGTTATAGTTGAGGTGTCAATGTGCTACGTGGATTAATCTGCATAACACTATTTTTAAAAGGGACAGTGCTATGACCTTACGAACTCATTCTAAATGCAGTTTATAAATGAGGCCCCTGGACCAGACCACTCCCATCATACGAGGTCTATACAGGCTGGAGTTTCCTCCTCCACCTGTTCATCATTCTACTATAAACTGGTAACAGGGTGATCCATCTCGCCTCACCTCGATCCTGCACTCTCCGCGTCCCAGAAGCCACTGCAGCTCCTGCGTGTGTCCAGTTGCCGCAGCGTCGTGGGCGGCCGTGGCCCCGTTCCTGGCGCGGATGTGGCCCTGAAGGCCGGCTTCTATCACCAAGAAGCGGAGGCAGTCTAGCCGGCCGCAGCGGGCGGCGTGGTGGACCGGCGTAGCCCCCTGGGGGTCAGTGATGGCCGAGCTGAGGTAGCCCTGACTGGTGCAGGACCCTCAGAGCTTCAACATCGCCCTCACGAGCAGCCTGGATCACTCTGTGGAGAACCATGCTGGTGCCCTAGTGCCCTGCTGGGACTCAACTGGCAGGGGTCCTGTCTGTCTGGTCACTACTACACCTCCCTCGCTCTCTCTCTCTCTGTCTCTCTCTCTCTCTCTCTCTCTCTCTCTCTCACTCTCTCTAAAAATGACACCTGAGCCGCATCCGAAATGCCTGAATGAGGGACAGATGGTCAGCTAAAAAGAAAGAGAAGCAGGGGGGCAGGTCGAGATGCTTAACTACAAAAAGTTTCTACTTAAGAAAAGATGGTTCTTCAAAGGTTCTTTAGTACAGACAGTGGTTTTACAGCATCATGAACACTTAAAGAACACTTTACATGATTAAACGGTTCTCTGCATGGTGAAAGGGTTCTTCAGATTGATAGAGAATGTGCTGTAGCTGGTTCTATATAGCAAATTTAAAAAAAAAGGTTCTTCTATTGTTACAAGCTTGACATCATAACCATAGTAGAACCCTTTTGGGTGCTATATAGAACCATCTACAGCACATTCTCCATCAATCTGAAGAACTCTTTCACAATGCAAAGAACCCTTTACATGCAAAGGGTTCTTTGAGTGTTAATCGTTCTATATAGGTCCATTTTCCTTACTAAAGGACCCTTGAAGAACCATCTTTTTTAAGAGTGTATTTCTCTACTATCAACCGCTAATGTAGCTAACAAAATAAAAGCGTGTTACCATCAGCACTGTCCAAACTGTACACTGCAAAAAATAATATCTTAACAAGTGAAAACATCTTAAATGTAGTCAGTAAATCTAATATTTCTCATTATGAGTCTGTTGTAAGAATATTATAAGATTATTCCACCTGTTTCTGTACATTTTTACTTGTTTTAAGTGATTTTATCTGGTGAAAGTGTCTTATTCCATTGGCAGATTAGTTTACTTGTTTTGAGAAATAATGAAGATAATTTTGCTCATTTCAAGAAATAATGATTAAAACAAGGAACATGATCTGACAATGAAATAAGACACTTTTATAAGATAAAACTGCTTAAAAACAAGTAAAAATGTCTAGAAATAAGTTAAATAATCTCACAATATTCTTACGACAGTCTCATAATGAGGTATTAGATATGTTGACTACAATTTAAGATGTTTACACTTGTTAAGGTATTATTTTTTGCAGTGCAGGCCTTTCTGACACTACAACATACTACTGATGGACAGGTGTGTCGCAGTAGCAGCCAATTTGAAACCTGAATTTTGTCCAAACTTCCATTTTCACAGGTTTGCGTCTGCTGCTGTGACTGCAGGGGTGCTGTCTCTGGCCTTGCTACACCCCTCCTCTATCCCTAAAAAGACACCTGAGCTGCGATCAAAAAGGAACAGGTGGCCGGCTGAACTCAGAGGGAAGCAGGGGGAGGCAAAATACACTGCGCAAAAGTCAAATGTTTGGGAGCATCTTGCCTTTTTTTGGAAATTTCAGAGTACAATTTACACTGCAAAAAATGGCATCTTGTCAAGTGAAATGATCTTAAATCTAGTCACAATCTACATTTTCCTATTTTTAGATGGTTGTGCACTTATTGTAATATTATCTAGTTTATTTCTAGTCTTTCTAGACTTTTCACTTGCTTTAAGTTACGTTATTAAGTGAAAATTCTCTCACTACACTGGCAGATAATTCAGCTGGTTTCAAGTACATTTCTTAAAACAAGCAAAATTATCTGCCAATATAGTGAGAAAATTTTACTTAATAAAATCACTTAAAAATATACATCTCATTTCCAAAAAAGTTGGGACGCCGTGCAAAATGTAAATAAATACAAAATGCATTGATGTGATAATCATTTAAACCCTATATTTCATTGACAATAGTAGAAAGACAACATATCAAATGTTGAAACTGAGACATTTTATAGTTTTTTTGAAAAATATTTGCCCATTTTGACTTTGATGCCAACAACTTTCCAAAAAAGTTGGGACGGGGGCCTGTTTACCACTGAGTTTCATCACCTCTTCTTCTAACAACACTCTGTAAGTGTTTGAGAACTGAGGAGACACTGCTGGAGTTTTGAAAGTGAAATGTTTTCCTCTTCTTGTTTGATACAGGATTTCAGCTGCTCATCAGTTCAGGGTCTCCTTTGTCGTATTTTTCATTTCAAAATGCAGCAAATGTTATCAGTGGTGACAGGTCTGGACTGCAGGCAGGTCAGTTTAGCGCCTGGACTCTTTTAATACGGAGCAGTGCTGCTGTAATACATGCAGAATGTGGTTTGACATCGTCTTGCCGAAATAATCAAGGCCTTCCCTGAAAAAGACGTTGTCTGGATGGCAGCATATGTTGCCAAAACCTGTATATATCGTTCAGCATTACTGGTGCCTTCACAGATCCTCACATCACCCATGCCATATGCACTAATGCCCCCCTGTACCATCATGAATACTGGCTTTTGAACTGTGCACTGATAACAAGCTGAGTGGTCTTTGGTTTTCAGCCATGTCCCTTACATACAGAGATTTCTCCAGATTCTCTGAATCTTTTAATGATATTATGTACTGTAGATGATGAAAAGCAGAAGTTCTGCTGTTTTACGTTGAGAAACATTATTCTTGAATTGTTGCACTATTTGATCGTGCAGTCTTTCACAGAGTGGTGAACCCTCCTCATCTTTACTTCTGAAAAACTCTCTGAGATGCTCATTTTATACCCAATCATGTTACTGACCTGTTGCCAATCAACCACCAGGTGTTTTTTATCATTACACAACTTTACCAGCCTTTTGTTGCCCCGTTCCAACTTTTTTGGAAAATATTGTTGGCATCAAATTCAAAATGGGCATATATTTTTTAAAAAACAATAAAATTTCAACATTTCATACGTTGTAGGGTTTAAATGATTTGCACATCATTGCATTTTGTTTTTATTTACATTTGGCACAGAGCCCTAACTTTTTTGGAAATCAGGGTTGTATATAATGCCTAGAAATAAAGCAAAGAATCTTATATTGAGCTTACAGCAATCTTAACAGGACAAATATAAGAATTACTGACTATATTTAAGATCATTTTATTTGACAAGATACCATTTTTTTGCAGTGTGATTTTTAATGTAACTTTTCAAGTTATAGCAGTTTTTTTTATTATTTGTTCTCTTAAATATTTTCCCATTTTTCTTTATTTGATTTTAATGTCAACTTCTTCACGTAATTCAGCTCATTTTAGTTTAAACTGATTCCAATTTCAATTTCTTTTCACTCTCTTTTCAGCCCCTTCAGCATCTTCAAATAACCACAGTAAGAAGAAAGACACCATTCAACACTGCTTCATCACTCAGATAAAGGAAAGAAAGGCAGAAACCGTTTATGACAGTGTCGCACATTTATTTCACGTCCAACAAAGTGTTAAGTGTCCACAGACATTAGGAGACACAGGTCCAACACTCAAAGAACTTGAGCACTGAGTACACTACGGCCTATCCACTCACGGTATAAAGAGGTTACGTACCAGACCGTCCACAGTTTGGTTTATATACACGGCGGAAATGTCGAAGCAGTTACAGTAGATGCGCTTTAGTTGGCAGGACGTGCCCTGGAGTGTTGATTCATACTGCAAGATCTGAATGAATGAGCCCAGGAATGAAGGATGTTCTAGATGTTTTTTTGAAATGCAGTATTAACAGAGTCCAGTGAGAGGAGGAGAAAGATATATAGAGAGAAACAGAGAGAGAGAGAGAGAGAGAGAGAGAGAGAGAGAGAGAGAGAGAGAGAGAGAGACCACTTACAGTATTTAACAACAATCTCCAGATGTCCTGTTTGTTACAGTATGTGACGTATGTTGATGTACGGTAATATTCTGATATACTGCACTCCTGCATCCTTTCTGTCGAGAGCAGTTCGAGGGTTTGCGTGCATGAGTCATGGTGTTTCCTCAGTCCGACAAAATAATACAATACAGTATGTCCTAACTAGTATTCTTATGTAAATGCTACTGATATACTGTACGGAGGTAAATGAGCTTCGATGCATTAGATTCAAACAGTCGAATAACTATATACAGCATGCCGTCACATATAGCTTTATCAAATGGACAAAAAAAAAGGAATGGACAGTACTTGATCGGAGCACCGAGAGGCATCGCCAGAAGGCCTTTCGCACTGAACAACTCATCTTCTCATTTCTGAGTGCACAAATGAAGATCTTGCTGAAGTAGGCTATGTTTGCACTGCAGTGTATTGACACCGGCGACAGAGAGTTTTCCAGTCACTTTAAAACCTGCTTGTGTCTGTGGTTTTTAGGTTAGAGCTCTGTGGGTTGGCTGGCCCAAGGCGTACAACCTAGCAGTGTTATTACTCCGCAACAAACATAGAAATGACTGGCTGGTCATTCTCCACCACTGTGCTACAACACAAGCAGGTTTTAGTTGGATCAACACGCTCAATGCAAGAGCCTGTGGCGGGACGTCTATGATATGTAGCTATAATCTTCACATCATCACATTTCTTTCTGTTTATCAGTTCATTTCATTCCAGAGGCAAGTTAAAGGACCATAAATGGCAGAAATGGTCTTCATTCTTAAAGCTAAACACAAGCTGCGTTAAATAAATGTAACGTCCAGGCAATCTGCCAGGCCACCTCCGGCCACTAGAAGAGGCGGAAGGGTCAGGACTGAGTAATTAGGGCTGTGCGGTAGCAGCTGTGGGCACCCTACTTAAGGGGTGCTTACACGCTGCTCGCTGCTCAGTCTTGAGTTCAGGGGGCAATGGGCACGTTGCTCTGACTCAGCCAGTAACCTCGGTATCTGTCTCGAGTTTCGAGTCGTTGCTTTTCTCAAATTGTTCTCCACCGTAAGTATATAAAAAAAGTCTCGAGTGAGTCTCACTTTAGGGAGAGGTGAGGGTGCGATTAAAGAAGGGAGTTTTTTGGATTCAGTTTTGGGGAGCTCGTAGTGTGGGTCATCCTTTTAAGTCTTTAGTCAGCATGGACATTATCCCCTTTTTGAGGGTTCAACATTCCCCTGTGACCAGTTACTTTCCTTGGTTATTGCGTTCCCCTTTTAATTCATTCTCCCTTTATAGTTTGATTTCCTGGCTTTTAGTGTCTTTTATTTCTTTTCTGAGTTTCACCTTTGTTCCCGACCCTCTGTTGCTCTGCACTTAAGGCTGTCCTCTAGCGTCCACCAGGTGGTTCATGCCCCTGGCGCTCCCGACTACTAACATTAGGGTCGTGAGTTCCATCCTCACACCTCCTGGTGAACCCCCTGGTGCAATAAGTCATTTTCAGTTTGGTTTAAATAGAACTGCCTGCTTAGGTAGGACTTGCTGCATGTATTCAGAGGGAAACGTGGGTTTCTCATTCCAAAACTGTAACACTGAAATTGGATCTAGAAAAAGGCTCAGGGCCAATTGTTGCATCAGGTGAGAGATCATCTCAATTATTTCCTTCAGCAAAGGTAGATACGACCTGCAGCGTCTGTGTAAAAGCCAAGAATGCAGTAAACACGTCTGCCATCAATGATAACCTGCTCTGAAAGTAAATGCAAACCCAGTATTGCAAGAGTTATGCCATAAATATATTTCTGACAATTTTATAACTTAGCTATTAATTGTTAAATGCAATATAACTCTAAATCCCTCTTTGTCCAGATGCTGTAACCTACTTTCAATTTGTCAGTGTTATGAATGTGCATAAACTAAAACAATGAAATCAGAGTTTAGCAGCCAAAAGTTCTTGTGCAAATTAACTTATTAATTAATTTAACTAACAAATAAAGTGTATCAGGCTTGATGAATGATCAAAGATCAGATTCAAAAGTGCAATGTGGAAAACGTCTTCTTAAACTGAAAAAAACTGTTTAAAATATATTAAGATTAGTGAATAAATAAACATGAAGCATAATATAAATTTAAAAAAAAGATGTTACATATTAAACTCTGTTAATAATGATGGTAAAAGTTTAAGACGCTTCTTTTTTGGACTTGATTGTTTTCTTGATGGCAGATCCTCGTTCAGGCTGAACCTTCACGCCACTGTATCTAGTCCTACTCCACCCAAAACATAAAAAAGCTTAGTAACAAAGCAGCTCTGTACTGTCTCGCAGTGCAATAGTGCGATCAAAACAACAGGACTCTACAGAAGCTCAGGGAAAAAGCACTGGACATCTAACCTGCAGAAGCACATACATAGGCAGAGCACGGCGGTGCGTTTTACACAGCGGCTAAACTCTTTACATTTTAAAATGGGGGCTTTTGTATGATGCTGTTTCCTATAATAATCACTAATAAGCTAATAAGTAGTCTAAGGGGTTGAATTATGGAGAGTTACAGTACTTATGAACTGACAAAGTTACCACTTTGCTAAAGCAGGTTTGACACACACACATACGTGCACACACCCATGTGCTCATACACACTCACACCACACACACATACAGTGGTTGGAGGGAGACAGGCAGGAGGCAGTATTGAGGGTGGCAGGCAGGGGGCGCTCTTCACATGATCTATTTACACCACAGGAGCCTGTCGGGTTTCCATTTTTATCACAGGATGTTGTTCTTTCCTCACATCCTCGTCTGAGCTGATTTTTTCCTGGAGAGCTTAGACCTGTAATAGGAGAGAGAAAGAAATGCAGTGAAATTGGTCCAGGACTGGGTGAAAATGGTACAGAACGTCCAACAAATCAGATTTTTTCAGCACAAACTGAAGATGATGACCATAGAACCTTGATAGATGAAGCTATTTGGTTCTAGGGCTGAAATATTAATGTTTTTTTTTAATCAAAAACCCTATTTAGGAGAGTGCAATTGTTTTTAAATTATAGCCTACATTATCAAAAACGTCTAGTTTTAAGTAGGGGAAGTTTAACCTAATAACACAGAGCTTGTGAACTGCCTGTAGATGAGTTAGACAAATCAGAGGCAACCAAACCTCCATATGTTGTGACATCACAACTCACTAAGATTTAAAACAATGCTGAATAACCTAAGACATAAATACAACTGCGGCTCTTGCGATTTCAGAACTGCACTCTTTCAAATTGTGATTGTGATATAAAAAACGATGAGTATTTCAGCCTTGCTGTCCACTTTATTGGAAACACCATCACAATCTTGTGCTCCAATCTTGCTGTTGTACTGTAATGAACTGTAGCCCATCTGCTGCCATGCTCAATTTGTGATAGCTTAACACTGATGTGTGTAAAAATCCCAGCAACACCGCTGTGAGTACACACTCGTAACAGCGCCCCACACACACCATGTCAGTGTTCAGTGGTCTCAAACTGTCCCAAGATGAATGGGGTAGAGGAAGCTGATAAATTGTGCCATGGCAGATGGGGCTGCAGTATATAATCATATACCTTCATAGTGGACCTGTAAGGTAGGTGGAGCTACGTGGCCAGTGAGAAGAAGTACAAAGCAGGGGTTTCTAATTATTATACTAGATACTGCATGTATATAAACACTATATCAAGCCTAGTCTTTTTCACTGCAGCTGAGGCTTCTACCTGATGGTTCCAGCCAGCAGTGGGTTGAAGGCGTACAGCCAGTCGTGCATTTCTTTGTCATTGCTGGCCTGGAGGAGAATGCCACGGTGCTCAGTGCAAACGGCAAATGTGTTTGGAGCCTGGAGACAAAAATCACACACACAGCCACACCATCGAGTTAGAAAATACTCTTTAATAGAGTCACCAACACTGAATAATCCATGGCAAAGGTATATATAGGCGAGATAAAGCAAAGCACGACACTGACAGTGTGTTGTGTCTTATACGACATGCCATTGGCCAGTTCAGTTACAGGGGTGCCTGAAAGTTTTCAGCCTGATGAGCATCAACAGCTCTTCTTTTGAGGTGCTCAGAAATCTCCTTTGTTCGTGCCATGATACACTTGCAAAAACGTGTTGTGAAGATCAGACCGTGATAGATCCCTGTTCTTTAAATAAAACAGGCTGGTCACTCGCACCTGACTGTCATCACACTGACTGAAAACACCTGACTCTAATTTCACCTTCAGATAATCTGCTAAAGGTTCACATACTTTTGCCACCCACAGATCTATAATATTGGATCATTTTCCTTAATAAATGAACAACCAAGTCTAATATTTTTGTCTCATTTGTTTAATTTGGTTCTCTTTTTATCTACTATTAGGACTTGTGTGAAAGATTTTAGGTCACATTTATGCAGAAATGTAGAAAATTCTAAAGGGTTCACAAACTTCCAAGCACCACTGGAGGTTTACTTTCTATATACTATATATAGGTTAGATTAAGTGACCCTTATTAGTCCCACAGTGGGGAAATTTCACCTCCGCATTTAACTCATCCATGCAGTGAATCACCACATACACATTAGTGAACACACACACTAGGGGGCAGTGAGCACACTTGCCCGGAGTGGAGGGCAGCCCTATCCACGGCGCCCGGGGAGCAGTAGGGGGTTAGGTGTCTTGCTCAAGGGCACTTCAGTCATGTACTGTCGGCTCAGGGGATCAAACCGGCGACCTTCCGGTCACTGGGCTGGTTCCCTAACCTCCAGCACATGACTGCCCCCAGGTTATAGACCATATGTATATCATAACATAACATATAGTACATATCGCTGCTGTCAGAACAAAACCTCGTATCTCCAAAATGGTAACTTTAGAGGAGAAGGAAAAAACCTACTTTACTTTTAATGTAAGTCAATGGAACCAGATTTTTTACCAAGTAATTTTGGGCCGTTTCTTTTGGTCTATTTATCATGAAATGTACAGACAGTATAAAGGACAACAGCTACTTTCAAATTACATCAAAAACTGAAAAACAACAAAAGTGGAGTTACGAGGTATTGTTCCGACAGCAGCGATATAATAATATATACACACACTATACTGTTATATATAAATAGTATACATAATAACGTTCTATATATAATATTCACTGCACTATGTATTATACTCCGATATATATTAGTGTGCTGAATTTTTTCGAGAAAAATTGAAAAACGAGATTTAATTTTAATTCCTCTTTTTTCAGCTCTGATAATGAGGAAAATTCTCACCCTCAGGATGGTCTGCTGGTCCTCGTTGTACTCCACCTGTGCAGAAGACAGGTTAATGACGGCTCTCTCCACGCTGTCCCTCTCGCTGCGGTACAGGTAGACATAGGGCCGCCGGACCACCACATAGCGCTTCACCCAGCCAGACGTGTGCGGCTCCAGAAAGTGCAGGTAACCTTTCTTTGACACGATGGGACTGCCAGAACAGAGGGACACATCTCATTCAGTTCAGCTGCTGAGCATGCTGTTCTTCAGTTAATCTAATAAATGTAACAGAACTTGCTTCAAGAAGATTAGAACAGCCCGGAAACATGGTCTAAGAAAATTACTGTCAGTTCTGAGCTTCACTGGACTGAAAATTAGTTTATCTTCCGATTACGATTGTGTTTTGTGTTTTACGAAACCACAGTGTAAGAAGTTGCACTTGTGATAGTGTTAAAAAATATCGCTGTTGTTTGAAGAAAATCTCGTATCTCCAAAATGGTAACTTTACAGGAGAAGGAAAAAACATATTTTACTTTTAATGGAAGTCAGTAGAACCAGACATTTTTCTGGGTAATTCTGGGACATTTCTTCTGGTCCATCCATCATGAAATTTACACACAACGTAAAGCGACAAAAATGGAGACACAAGGTTTTCATCCAAAAACAGTGATATTTTTGATTAAACTTTTCATTTTTCATTATGAAAACCAGCTTCTGTGCCTTAATATTGTGCGTTTTGCCTGAGAAGTTACAGCACTCTCAAGACTCAACTCATATGAAGTGATGCAAGTGATTTCCATAAGCCATGTGAATGAACATCTTTTCAGCTAAATAAAGTCCCTTTAGAGATTTTCCCCCTTTCACAATATTATACATCAGTTCTACTTTTACAGTGTAATTCACTATAAAAAATGTCTTGAATTGGTCATATTCTCTGTCTGGACATTGAGCTTGTATGATTCCTGGGCTCTTCAGGTCAGTACCTAACACGGATCTCCTGGATGTTGGGGACGAAGGTGCAGGTCCGGGGCTTTCTCTCCTCAGGGCTGAACGGATCCAGATCAGGGCTGGAGGCCCCAGAGTGAACCTCTGCACTTCTGCAAGACACACATTAAACACTCTGTTCAACGTGGGGACATTACAGCCAGGACACAGCTAATCGTTAATATTTTGAGCTGATGATCTTATCTACACATTTAACAATTAGATAGATAGATAGATAGACAGATCGATAGATAGATAGATAGATAGATAGATAGATAGATAGATAGATAGATAGACAGATAGATAGATAGATAGATAGATAGATAGATAGATAGACAGACAGATCGATAGATATTTTATTGATCCCGAAGGAAATGTAGCAGCCAGTATCAGTCACACAACACAGGACAGTTATAATAATAAGGGTGAAACAATATAAAAAGAACAATATATACAGAAAAACCTCTCTACAGGCATATATACAAATAGAAATATACAAAAATATGCAATAAGATCTATAACCTGAGATAAAAAGGGTAGTGCAATAATGACTGTACAAGGAGGCGCAGGTAACGGTATATAATGACAATACTGATTATGGTTGTTTAAGAGTTCTGGAGTAAAGAAAATGGTTCTATATAGAACAGGGGTCGCAAACCAAATGGTAAAAAGAGCCATTTTGTCCCGTCAGCAAAAATCAAACCACCTTGAGAGCCACAATATTTTATGTCCAGTTTACCATCTGGGCTGTAGATGTGTCTCAGTAACTGCTGACGTACTAGGACAGGATTAAAAATACACGCAAAAATGCAGACTCACTCTGCTCTGCTTTAAGCTTTAGCTCAGCTTTTCTCGCATCTCCACCAGTCGTGAAGCTTAAGTCATCTTCTCTTTCGCCAGCTTGCTGCACCATTTAAGGCGGGAAACGGGAAAATTCGAATGAGAAGCGACTTCAGCCTTATGACTTTTAGTGTTTGTCAGTTTCTCAATACAGATTAAACCTGTCAGAAAACCAGCTGGAGTGATTCATCTCCAAATTATCGATGTTCATCTTAAATCCCTCTCTTTGCCGTTTCGTTAGCTACTAGCTAGGCGAGACTGTTGTCTGTGTTGCTATGGTGACCAGCGGTCTGCGCACTGATCCCCAGGGTTAAAGGGTGAATCAGCAGGTCTACATTAACTCCAGAGTTTAAGACCATTTCTAGTTAAAACTGTGTTAAACCATCAGCAGAGCTTTATTTTACTGTAAAGAACCCTTCGCATGATTAAAGGATTCTTTGCATCATTAAAGGTTCTTCAGATTGATGGAGAGTGTGCTTTTGTATGGTTCTATATAGAACCTTTTTGAAAAGTGTTCTATCTAGCACCAAAAAGGGTTCTGCTATTGTTACAGGCTTGACATTGTGAGCATATAAGAACGCTTTTTGGTGCTATATAAAACTCTTGTCAAAAAGGTTCTGTATAGAACCATCTAGAGCACATTCTCCATCAATCTGAAGAACCATTTCACAATGCACAGAACCCTTTAATTGTGCAAATTCATATATAGACAGGACCATTTTCTTGACTAAAGAACCCTTGAGGAACTCTGGTTTAAGTGTGGTTTAAGTACGTTTTAGTAAGGTTAGTTACTTTGTTGTCAATTCTGAGTGCTTGCTACTCCTTTGCTGCTGTAGCACTGTGTATTTCCTCATTGTGGGACTGATAAACAGTTATCTTATCTTGTCTTATCCAAATTTTCCTTATCTTACAAACTTACCTGAGGTCAGGGTTGCTATAGTGACCTTCCACCAGTGACGGGCAGGTAGTAGAGGGAGTCAGTGTGCTCAGAGTGGAGGAGGAGCCGTCTCTCAGCAGGGATGCCGACATCTCTGACAGCTAACATACACATACACACACAGAGTCAAAAACAAAGAAACATCACAAACCTAAAGGGTGAATGGACAGAAAATGAGTGTATCTCTGATCCAACAGTTTAGACTGCAAAACATAATATCTTAACCAGTGTAAACGTCTTAAATGTAGTGAATAAATCTAATATCTCTCATTATGAGTCTGTTGTAAGAATATTATAAGATTATTCCACCTGTTTCTGTACATTTTTACTTGTTTTAAGTGATTTTATCTGGTGAAAGTGTCTTATTCCATTGGCAGATTAGTTTACTTGTTTGGAGAAATAATGAAGATAATTTTGCTCATTTCAAGAAATAATGATTAAAACAAGGAACATGATCTGCCAATGAAATAAGACACTTTTATAAGATAAAACTGCTTAAAAACAAGTAAAAATGTCTAGAAATAAGTTAAATAATCTCACAATATTCTTACAACAGTCTTATAATGAGAAATAGTAGATATACTGACTATATTTAAGATGTTTACACTCACTAAGACATCATTTTTTGCAGTGTAGCATTCAAATATCTGAGCTCACCCTCAAAACAACTACAGGAATAATCATGACAGGCTAGCAATGGCAGGCAGGCAGGCAAAAAGAACTTGCAGCGGGTCTTAGTGACTAGGGAGTGGGAGGACGAGACCAGTCCTACAGTGGCTCTACTCGAAATGAGCTAATGAGGAAAGTGTGAGGCTGCAGGCCATCATTTGGCTCCAAAATGAGCTAATGGATGAGCTGTTCGTAATGAGGCAGGGAGGGAGAGCGGGTGGAGGATCGCTCTGTCTGAACAAGTCAGAGCAGAAGAGCAAGCAGAGAGCTGCTCTGTATGAACGAGACAGAGAGAGAGAGAGCGCGGGTTCGTGACCGCTCTATCTGAATGAGGGTAGAGAGGAAGGGCAGATAGAGAGCCACTCTGTATGAATGGAGGGATGAGGCAAGGCCTGCGGGTGGCGAATCTGAAGCAGTAAAGGCTCACCTTGCTCTCACTGGCACTGCTGCTCACCTGGCTGTACTGCCTGTTGAAGGTGTGCATGAGCAGTCGCAGACACTGTGGAGGAGAGAGAGACAGAGTTAAATCACTCTAGCCACTCTACACAGTACAAGATACTAAATTACTTAAATACTTCAACACTGTGTACATTATTCACTGCAAAAATGATGTCTTAGTGAGTGTTAACATCTTAAATGTAGTCAATATATCTAATATCTCTCATTATGAGACTGTTGTAAGAATACTGTGAGATTATTAAACTTATTTCTAGACGTTTTTACTTGTTTTTAAGCAGTTTTATCTTATAAAAGTGTCTTATTTCATTGTCAGATCATGTTCCTTGTTTTAATCGTTATTTCTTGAAATTAGCAAAATTATCTTCATTATTTCTCAAAACAAGTAAACTAATCTGCCAATGGAATAAGACACTTTCACCAGATAAAATCACTTAAAACAAGTAAACATGTACAGAAACAGGTGGAATAATCGTATAATATTCTTACAACAGTCTCATAATGAGAGATATTAGATTTACTGACTACATTTAAGACGTTTTCACTTGTGAAGATGTGTTTTGCAGTGTTGCTTACTTTAGAATTTATAGTGAATTCATTACAGATTCACTGTAAAATCATGCTGATGTAAAGTTTGAGTCTCCAGCCCATCATCAATGGGCAGTTTCAGACCCCAAAGCCGCTCTTCACTGAGTAGTGACCACTCTCAACCTAGCAGCGTCACCGATATGTGCAAAAACCTCGTGCCACATGATGCACTACAACACCACTGCCATGTCAGGGTCCACCACCCAAATGATATCTGGTTAAGATTAGTCCTGTGGTCACAGACTGACCAGAGATGAATGGGCAAGAGGGGGCCTGACAAATTGTGCATGACAACAGATGGGCTACATTCCCATTGTACACCTAGAGGGCCTTTAAGGCAACTGGCCAGTGAGTGGAAGTTCAAGAAAGGGGTTTCTTTTTTTTTCTTTTTAATTTTTACCCGATTTTCTCCCAAATTTAGTCGTCTCCAATTCCACCCGCTAGTTAGGACTCCCCCAATCACACGACGCTATCAACGCTAGGAGGGTGAAGGCTAACACAGGCTTCCTCCGAGACCTGTGAAGCCAACCACCACTTCTTTTCGAACTGCCGCTCACGCAACGTCACTGGACAGCCGAACGCGCTCGGAGGAAAGCGCCAACCGCCAGATCTGTTACGTCAGCTAACAGATGCCTGCGCTGACTAGCATCGCGCTGAGTGAGTGATGGGGGGAGAAGGAGGGGCCATCCCACCCACCCAGAGAGAGCGAGGCCAATCATGCTCTCTCGGACTCCCGGCTACGGACGGCTGTAGCATCACCATGGGATCGAACTCGCGATCTCCTGATGATACGGGCCAACGCTTAGACGGTTGCGCCACTCGGGAGCAAGAAAGGGGTTTCTAATAAAGTGTATGATAAGTGTTTAACGCTTTATTTTACCCACAAAGGAGGTCAGGTGATGTTGGACTCTAAGGCTCAATCCTATTTCATCCCTCGCACCTACCACTTAGCTCTACCCCTCTGTTTTGTGTGTTCACTCCTAGGGGTCGGGTGTCCCGATTCTTGTTGAGATAGAGGGATAGGGCGAAGTGTTAGGGCTACATGGCCCTCCAAACAGGAGACACACTCCAAACAGAGTGATATGAGGCAAGATGGCTGAACAAGAGACCAAAGAAACCCACAAATGTGAGAATTTTCTGTTAAAATTATGATAACCATCGTATTATCATAGTTTAATGTAGTTTCAATGAATTATGGTCCTAATCATCGCTAATAGTTTGCTGATGTCTCGGTATCTAGTTAGCTCAATTTTCTAGTTCCACCTTAAATGGAGCAGCAGTTACATTTTGGCACCTCAGGCCTCAGAACTGCTGCACCATTTAAGGTCGAATGGAAACGTTCTAACAAGAAGCTGGTGAATATCTGACTTCAGCTTCATATCACTGAAGAATTAGGGGTGGGTGATAATAAATAATTGCCCCCCCCCCAAATGTAACTAAAGCCCAGCAGTGAGGAGCTGAACTTTACCCTCCTCTGCTGTCACTGCAGACTGGCAGGGTCTCCTACAGAGCAGCGCTGGTAGCTGATAATGAAGTAATGCTCTATTTCATTTGAGGGTCCCATTTTGTAGGGAAGATTTCAACCACTACAACTTGTACCTCAGTTCCAAGGGGCAAGGAGACACTCGAAAACAAGGGGTTAGGGGTGAAAATAAGAGATGGGATTGGGTCTTAGAATCAATGCAGAAGTTTTCAAATTCGGTCTTCCAGTGTGTGACTGTGTAACAGTGGGTGATAAGAGGGCAGTGTTGGTCACCTTGGCAGCCAGCTCCTTCTGCCTTTCGTTGGGGCTGTCCAGGCCCAGGCCGCCTGCTGGGTTGAGGCAGGGACTGAGCGCTTTGGGCGACTCCATCAAGTCTTTACTGCACAGAGTGTCTTGACCAAACAGCAGAGAGGCTTCCAGCTTCTCTCTCAACAGCAGGTAGTGCCTCGTCTTCTCAACCTGCCCCCCCACACACAAACGCAAACATCACGGTTACTCAGAGCATCGAAAACTGCAACTTAAAGCTTATATACAACACTTTAAGCATTAATATGGCAGCAAACAACCATTTTCTATGTAAAGACACAGTGGAGTGATTGCATCCTGATCAGAGAATGAAGCCACGCCCCCTCTGTGTGTGTGTGTGTGTGTGTGTGTGTGTGTGTGTGTAATCTGAGCTTCTCTGTTTTTGTTTCATAGCCAGTCCGGCCGCACATGCAAATGTGAAAACGACGGCCCTCCCCATATTTTGTTTTGCCCTCCACAGACAGTGAGCACCCACACAGCATTGAGTGTGCACCTTTTAAGGTGGAACAGGATAATTCGAACAAGAAGCTGAGGCGCCGAATGTAGTCTTAACTGCTCTACCTTTTAAGGTGGAACGGGAAAATTCGAATAAGAAGTTAAGGCGCTGGAGTGTAGTCTAGCTGCTACACTTTTTAAGGTGGAACGGAAAAATTAGAATAAGAACATCTCAACGTCTCAGAATGCTGGTACCTCCTGCAGGAGACTGAGCTTCTCCAGCTCCCACTGATGGTCTAGGATCAGGCTGTCACTGCGTGGCCTCCAGCCGGCCAGGTTCTCCTCCCCACGGACGTACGCCACTGAGGTGTCCAGCACCCGTCTACGCCTCCTCTGCATGCCTGCATAACAAAAACAGAGGTCAGTTGAAGCATTCTTAGCAGATTTACTGACCATCCACTTCACTAGCCATTTTAATGGCTTTCTCTGCCTTATAGCTCCATTATACAGGCGTACAATTACAGACTGTTGTCCATTTGTTGCTGTCCAGTTTATCACCCACCCTCTACCCCATTCATCACTGGTCAGTTTCTGACTACAGGACTGCAGTTTGTCCTGATATTATGTGGGTGGAGGTCCATTCTTAGCACAGCAGTGACACTGATATGGTAGTGTGTGCGGTGCTGGTACAGCACAGCAGTGTTGCTTTGGTTTTTATAAACATTGGTGTCACTGCTGGGTTGAGAGTGGACCACCAGACAAAAGTATCCGGACAAGAGCGGTTCTGTGGTCAGGGATTGACTACTGATGAAGAACCAGAGGATGGCTAACACAAACTGCATCAACATACACTGATCAGTCATAACATTATGACCACCTCCTTGTTTCTACGCTGATTGTCCATTTTATCAGCTCCACTTACTATATAGGTGCACTTTGTAGTTCTACAGTTACAGACTGTAGTCCATCTGTTTCTCTGATACTTTGTTAGCCCCCTTTTACCCTGTTCTTCAGTGGTCAGGACCCCCATGGACCCTCACAGAGCAGGTACTATTTGGGTGGTGGGTCATTCTCAGCACTGCAGTAACACTGACGTGGTGGTGGTGTGTTAGTGTGTGTTGTGCTGGTCTAAGTGGATCAGACACAGCAGTGCTGCTGGAGTTTTTAAACACCTCAGTGTCACTGCTGGACTGAGAATAGTCCACCAACCAAAAATATCCAGCCAACAGCGTCCTGTGGGCAGCGTCCTGTGACCACTGATGAAGGACTAGAGGATGACCAACACAAACTGTGCAGCAGCAGATGAGCTATTGTCTCTGACTTTACATCTACAAGGTGGACTGACAAGGTAGGAGTGTCTAAAGGGGGGACAGTGAGTGGACACAGTGTTTAAAAACTCCAGCAGCACTGCTGTGTCTGATCCACTCAGACCAGCACAACACACACTAACACACCACCACCACGTCAGTGTTACTGCAGTGCTGAGAATGATCCACCACTCAAATAGTACCTGCTCTGTGAGGGTCCATGGGGGTCCTGACCACTGAAGAACAGGGTAAAAGGGGGCTAACAAAGTATCAGAGAAACAGATGGACTACAGTCTGTGACTGTAGAACTACAAAGTGCACCTATATAGTAAGTGGAGCTGATAAAATGGACAATGAGTGTAGAAACAAGGAGGTGGTCATGATGTTATGCCTGATCGGTGTATGAGCTACAGTCTCTAACTGTACACCAGCAAGGTGGAGCTACAACAGAGGAGTGTCTGATGAAGTGGAAAGGGGGTGTATATTAGTGTGTGTCTTCTACTTTTGTTTGGTGATGCGTCTCCTACCTGGACTCCCAGCATCTGCCAGGTGACACAGACTGAGCTCATAAACTCCAGTCACACGATTACTGAAAGACAGAGATACACAAGTAGTCAGTACTTTGTCATGGTCAGCACTTTACAACCAGCCTTCACTTCCTTAATGTGACTTAAATGTGTCAGTTTCACGACTTGTTGTTTCACATTTATATTTGTTTCCCCCTAAAATGTAAGGGCAAGTATAGAAACTCACAAATTACTGTCACAAATACATAAATTCCATTATAGTTTCATAATAGTTTCTGAATTATTTATAGTATTTAAGCAACAACTCACGCATTTCATAGCTGAATAATAAGTTTGCAGTTGTAGGGATTAATATGGATCTGCTATCCCCCTTAAACACACTTCAATTCCTCACCCTCATAACTGCACACTTAATGATGGTTCTTCAAAGGTTCTTTAGTAAAGGAAATGGTTCTATACAGAACCATGAATACTCAAAGAACCCTTTGCATGATTGACTGGTTCTTGGCATTGTTAAAGCATTCTTCAGATTGATGGAGAGTGTGTTTTATATGGTTCTATGTAGAACCCTTTTAAAAAGGGTTCTACATAGCACCAAAAGGGTTCTTGTATTGTTACAGGTTTGGCATCGTAACAATACCAGAACTCTTTTTGGTGCTATATAGAACCATCTAGAGCACATTCTCATCAATCTGAAGAACCATTTTACGATGCAAAGAACCCTTTAGTCATGCAAAGGGTTCTTTGAGTGTTCACGGTTCTATATAGATCCATTTTCTTTACTAAAGAACCCTTGAGGAACCATCTTTTTAAAGTGTGAATGTGTGACATTATAACAATACCAGAACTCTTTTTGGTGCTACACGGAACCAAATACAGCACATTCTCCATCAATCTGAAGTACCATTTCACAATGCACAGAACCCTTTAGGACCATTTTCGTTACTAAAGAACCCTTGAAGAACTCTTTTTAAGTGTGGTTTAAGTGAAAGTGTTCTTCAGATTGACCACAAAGGGTTCTTCTATTATTACAAGCTTGACATCATAACAATAGATGAACTCTTTTTGGTGCTATATAGAACCATCTACAGCACGTTCTCCATCAATCTGAAGAACACTTTTATGATGCAAAGAACCCTTTAATCATGCAAAGGGTTCTCTGAGTGTTCATGGTTCTATATAGAACCATTTTCTTTCCTAAAGAACCCTTGAAGAACCATCACTGTGCATACTGTTTTTATAGTAGCTTCCAGACGTTCACTGTAGTTACAGTGACACTTAATATTAATATAAATAACCTAATAGTTAATTATGAATATGTAATGCTAATAAATGAATAACAAGTACAGCAAAAGTTAAAGCCTTGATAAGAACCTTATGAAAGTAAAAATCATGTTTTTCTGGCACACTGTCACCGGTCAGTCCCTACCTCTCGGAGGGTCTGAGGACTCCGGTGCTGAAGAGGTTGCGGATGGACCGGGACGCGGGAAGCTTTGCATCCCTGGAATAGAACACCATGCAGAAGTCCTTGGTGATGACCGTAGGCTGAGAGCAGTTCTCCATCTGAGGGAAAGTGGAGAGGATTTAAAAAAGGAAACTTTAAAATCTGCCAAACATTTCTGCAACTGTGCTGGCAGGATATTTATAGAAGCCAGCTGGGTACAAACACTTGGCAGAGTCTGCAGAAAAATGACATTGCAGACTATTCACTGTACATGAGGCTCGGCTCCGGTTCCTGTTTATACTGTATAACTACCAGAATTTGGACTCAATCAAGCTCGTTTTCAGGCCAAGAATCCTTTCAGATTCTCTTAATGCATTTTTAGCACTTTGGTCGCGATTAAAACACCTGACTGCTGTTCAGTGCTGTATTATTGCTATAGAGACTATACACTGATCAGGCATCACATCATGAGCACCTCCTTGTTTCTACGCTCATTGTCCATTTTATCAGCTCCACTTACTATATAGGTGCACTTTGTAGTTCTACAGTTACAGACTGTAGTCCATCTGTTTCTCTGATACTTTGTTAGCCCCCTTTTACCCTGTTCTTCAGTGGTCAGGACCCCCATGGACCCTCACAGAGCAGGTACTGTTTGGGTGGTGGGTCATTCTCAGCACTGCAGTAACACTGACGTGGTGGTGGTGTGTTAGTGTGTGTTGTGCTGGTCTGAGTGGATCAGACACAGCAGTACTGCTGGAGTTTTTAAACACCTCAGTGTCGCCGCTGGACTGAGAATAGTCCACCAACCAAAAATATCCAGCCAACAGCGTCCTGTGGGCAGCGTCCTGTGACCACTGATGAAGGACTAGAGGATGACCAACACAAACTGTGCAGCAGCAGATGAGCTACCGTCTCTGACTTTACATCTACAAGGTGGACTGACGAGGTAGGAGTGTCTAATAGAGTGGACAGTGAGTGGACACAGTGCTTAAAAACATCAGAAACCCTGAAAACATCAGATCACATTAGGGCAAAAATCGGATTTGTGTCACTTCACCCTGGTGATGTGAACGTAGCCTCAGTGTAGAGTTACTCTCAGGATGTGTTTTCAGAGGAAAGCACTGGAGACGGACTCTGCTCACCTCCAGGTACGCCGAGAGGGTGATGTAGATTTTCTCTCCGTAAGGTGTGACCCGGTTCAGCAGAAGAGAATTGTGCATGGAGCTGTCCCACGCCGCCTCGAAGCGGTAAAACGTCCTGCAGGCCATCCCAAAGGGACAAACAATACATTACAATTCAAAATATGATATCAGCCTCTGTGCAGTGTTACTGATCTTGGTTTTTGTTTCAGCCATTTTCATTACTAAAACAAAATTATATAAATGAAAATGCAGCACAACAGAGGAAATGGAAAAAAAAATACCTATGGTCAATTCCCAAGGACACACTGAGAGGAAAAAGCGAGAAACATTACAGAATTAGTGTTAGAGAATTAGAAATGAGTTAGAAAGCTCAGCTTTGTACTCTTCTCTCTTCACCAGAGAGAATCAGAGAGACATTCAGTCAACTTTTGTCTGTTACACTGCAAAAAATGATGTCTTAGTGAGTGTAAACTTCTGAAATGTAGTCAATATATCCACTATTTCTCATTATGAGACTGTTGTAAGAATATTGTGAGATTATTTAACTTATTTCTAGACATTTTTACTTGTTTTTAAGCAGTTTTATCTTATAAAAGTGTCTTATTTCATTGTCAGATCATGTTACTTGTTTTAATCATTATTTCTTGAAATGAGCAAAATTATCTTCATTATTTCTCAAAACAAGTAAACTAATCTGCCAATGGAATAAGACACTTTCACCAGATAAAATCACTTAAAACAAGTAAAAATGTACAGAAACAGGTGGAATAATCTTATAATATTCTTACAACAGTCTCATAATGAGAGATATTAGATTTATTCACTACATTTAAGACGTTTTCACTTGTTAAGATATTATTTTTTGCAGTGTAAAGCTTATTGCAAGTAAGAAATCTTTGGCATTAATTAAAAAAAAAATCGATAAGCAGCAAAGCAATAAACATTATTGGTAAGCGCACAGACATTACTATAAGAACAAACATTAGGCGAGAATGCAGATGATTTTAGGAGCAGCAGGGGACACTTTCTGAACAGGTCTGGTGTGTTTCCGTCCTGTGCTGAGCTCTTAAGGTTATGGCGATGTTGGATTTATACCTGTCATCATAAGAGGGCCTTATGTAGCCAGCAGACAGGATGTTGAGGGACAGGATGTTGGGGTCGATGATGGTCTCGTCTGCCTCGGGTGTGTTACGGATCCGTCCTGAAAGAGAGAGAAAGACACGCTGAGTCATCTCAAACTCTGCAGTCACACACGCTCCACGTACCAGACTGTACTCGCCTCTCTGACACACGCACAACAACAAAACAGTGACTACGAGATTAAGAGAAGCTGTTCTGATTAGAAACCTGTGGTCACTCACCGATAACCAGCTCCTTAACCTCCTTCCATTCAATGTCACTGCCCGTTTCATGGGCTATCGTCACTGTGATTCTCCTTTGGATGCCCTGCAGAAATGTTTTCACAAGTTAACAGCACTTTCAAGAAGCCAACCTCATAGCAAATGCAAGAAACTGCACAACCAAGAGTTTTTTATCCAGTAACTACTACAAATTATTCAGTAACTACTTACTGAATAATGTGTACTTACTTGGCGATAGCACACTTTATTGCTTTTATACAACAGTGAAATAAATAAAGTAATAAATTAATAAACTGGGTCGTGAACGCGGCGTTTAATATGTTTTAATGTTCGCAGTTCCTTCACCAAATTATAGTTCCTTAACGAGCAGCTTGTTGCTACGTCAGAGTAACGAGCTCCGCCCACTCACTGCTCAGTCTGCTGTAAGCCTCGCCTTTTGAAGTACAGACTGAGCCATAAAACTGCCGCAATATCAAGTTCAGCTCAGTTGTGTCAGTTTTCGCCAGATCAGTATTAATGTTGTTTTGTTCCAGCCAGTCTGTGAAGCATCTTACAGCCCGTTTAGTTTGGCGAATGGTGTTGGGTTCATTTCTGGCTGATTCCAGGTTGTTTAGCTGTTCTTCTGTCTCAGCTGCCGACTGAAAAGCTGCTCAGTGGTGATGACAGTTTGGGAATTTAGTGTCGTCTCATCTTCAGAGTCTGACCAAATCGGCTGTCGGTCAAATGTGATCTTAAAAGTGTCCGTTTTCTGGTTGTGGCAAAGTAAGAAGTAAAAACGTGCAAATGTCTTGAGCGTCTCCTACAGCGGAGTGATACAGTGTTCGTGAAAAACCTGTGATGTTATGGTGAAATAACAGCACAGTTAGAACGCTTCTCAACCAATCAGCTTGCTTGCCTGGAACCAACTGTTGCATAATATAAAACTAATATGTAGTTTCAGTGAGGAACTGAAATTTGGACCCACGTATAGGTTCTTGCACTATTAGGGGTTAAACTGAACTCTACACAAGGAGTTAAACTGTGAAAATCTGTTGATTAATATTCAGTAAGTCAGGGTCAGTGCTTACCTGGTGCAGTAGGAATGTCCCGTGGCAGGGCATTCCTCCTCTGTGATCAACCACAGCTGGGATGTAGCTGGAAAAGGCAAAAACAACATGAAATATAAGTGCTCTGTCAGGCAGACACTGACACTGCAGTAATACCATCTGACTGATCTCAGCTGGGTTCAGATACTCACTCTCCATTAGCTTCGAGCTCACAGATCTCAAAGAAAGCCATGAGGTCGTATTTGCAGTGGCATGGTCCAGCAGAAGAGCGGGTCATTGCACTCAGTTTGGTGGCAGGCACTGCAAAGAGAGAAGGCATCATTAATATGAATAAGAATATACTGCAAAAAATAATATCTTAACAAGTGAAAACGTCTTAAATGTAGTGAATAAATCTAATATCTCTCATTATGAGGCTGTTGTAAGAATATTATAAGATTATTCCACCTGTTTCTGTACATTTTTACTTGTTTTAAGTGATTTTATCTGGTGAAAGTGTCTTATTCCATTGGCAGATTAGTTTACTTGTTTAGAGAAATAATGAAGATAATTTTTGCAGTGTAAGTGTTCCTACAAGCTTCTTCTCATTGATAAAAATGTAATTATTTTACTTTAAAAATGACATATTATTAATATTAGCAATTAACAATAAACAATGATTATTAATGTTGTTGGCAAAAAAGGATAGAATCCCTTTCAAACAGTAAAGTTTAACAACTTAAAGTGCTTTACAAACAAATATAACTGAAAACAATGCTACACTGCAAAAAATGACATCTTAACAACTGTAAACATCTTAAATGTAGTCAATAAATCTAATATTTCTCATTATGAGACTGTCGTATGAATATTGTGAGATTATTTAACTATTTCTATACATTTTTACTTGTTTTTGAGCAGTTTTATCTTATAAAAGTGTCTTATTTCATTGTCAGATCATGTTACTTGTTTTAATCTTTATTTCCTGAAATGAGCAAAATTATCTTCATTATTTCTCAAAACAAGTAAACTAATCTGCCAATGGAATAAGACACTTTCACCAGATAAAATCACTTAAAACAAGTAAAAATGTACAGAAACAGGTGGAAAAATCTTAGAATATTCTTACAACAGTCTCATAATGAGAGATATTAGATTTATTGTCCACATTTAAGAAGTTTTCACTTGGTAAGATGTTATTTTTTGCAGTGTATTTTATAAATGAGTAAAATAATAATAAGCCACCTATTACATATTTTATAAGATCATATAAATCTGAGTAAATGTTGTTTCCTCCAGCACAGAAAGGCTCACCTGGTTTGGATAAAGGCATCACCCGGGGGAACTGCCTTCTGGACGGGCGTAGAGGACTGTTAACACAGCAAGATTTAGAAGTGTTACTACATCTCTTAAAAACAGATGGTTCTTCAAGGGTTCTTTAGTAAAGAACCATTTAGAACCATGGACACTCAAAGAACCCTTTGCATGAATAAGGCGTTGTTTGCATTATGAAATGTAGAACCTTTTTGCAAAGGGTTCTATATAGCACCTAAAAGTGTTCTTCATATCGTACTTATAGCAGACCCTTTGGGGCACTTTATAGAACGCTTTGCATGATTAAAAGGTTCTTTGAATGAATAAATGGCTCTTTGGGCTGAGGGAGAATGTCTTGTGTATGGTTCTATAGAGAACCTTTTTGAAAAGCGTTCTTTATAGCTCCCAAAAAGGTTCTTCTATTGTTATGATGTCAAGCTTGTAACAATAGAAGAACTCTTTAGGGTGCTGTATAGAACTATAGAACTGCTCACTAAAGTGTTGGTGCTAAACAAAAAAGGTTCTATATAGAACCACCTTAAGCACATTCTTCATCAGTCTGAAGAACCCTTTCGTGATGCAAAGAACAATTTCTTTACCTCGAAGAACCGTCTTTTTTTTAGAAGTGTACATTAAACTACTGTCTGGTGAGTGAAGTGCAATAACATGAAACGATGAAATCAGAGTATTACCAAGAACCAGTTCTCACCTGATGAGATCTTTACAGAGAGGAGGGAAGGGCTGCTTCTGGTAGTGCCCGAATACCTCAAAAACTATGGGCTGACTCTTGATGTACTCCACAAAAGACTTGGTGACCTCAACCGTGATCTGAAACATCACCACAAACATGAATCACACGCTGAGTTTGGCTTTAATCGAGACTTTCATAGAGACTAAGGCCCAGTCCCATTTCACCACTCGCCTCTACCACTTAGCCCTACCCCTCCGTTTCCGTGTTCATGTCTAGGGGTAGGGTGTCCTGATTCTTGTTGAGATAGAGGGGTAGGGTGAAGTGTTGGGGCTACATGACCCTCCAAACGGAGGTTTTTCAGAGACTCCAAACAGAGAGTTATGAGAAAAAAAGAAAAACTGGCAAGATGGCTGAACAAGAGACCAAAGAAACACACAAATGTGAGAATTTTCTCTATTAAAAAATTACAATAACCACTGTATTATCTTAGTTTAATGTCGTTTCAATGTATTATGGTCCTTTTCTTCATAACAAGCATAAAAAATCACTAGTATTATGCTGATGTCTCGGTAGCTAGTTAGCTAAATTTCCCGCTCCACCTTAAATGGTGCAGTAGTTACATTCTGGCACCTCAGGCATCAGAACTACTGTATTATTTAAGGTGGAACGGGAAAATTCGAACAAGAAGCTGGTGACTATCTGACTTCAGCTTCACTTCACTGAAGAATTAGGGGTGGGTGATAATAAATAATTGCCCCCCCCCTTTGAAGGCATATGATGCCCTAAACGTAACTAAAGCCCAGCAGTGAGGAGCTGAACTTTACCCTCCTCTGCTGTCACTGCAGACTGGCAGGGTCGCCTACAGAGCAGCGCTGGTAGCTGTTAATGAAGTGATGCTCTTTTAGTTTGAGGGTCCCATTTTGTAGGGAAGATTTCAACCACTACCCTGTAACTCAGTTCCAAGGAGACACTCAAAAACAAGGGGTGGGGTAAAAATAAGAGATGGGACTGGGCCTAAACCTGAAACTTCACTCCTAGCCAGCAGTTTTTGATACTACAGGTTTCTTGCTTACATTCTGGACGTGGTAGAACCCCAGTGGAGGTCCCCTGCCTGTGTTCTTCAAGGGTTCGGTGGAGAAAGCCTCGTCATGCCTGTGGATGAAGCTGAAAGCACAATACATTTTAGCATTAAATGCTCCAGTCAGCCCACAAATCCACATTGACAGGAACGTTAGATCTTCTAAATAAACTAAACACTCAGAAAAGATGGTTCTTCAAGGGTTCTTTAGTAAAGAAAATAGTACTATATAGAACCAAGACCACTCAAAGAACCATTTGCATGATTGAAGGGTTCTTTGAATTGTGACAGTGTTCTTCAGATTGATGAGGATGTGCCGTAGATAGTTCTAAATAGAATCTTTTTGAAAAGCGTTCTACATAGCACCCAAAAAGGTTCTTCTATTATTCCAAGCTTGACATTGCAACAATAGAAGAAACATTTTTGGTGCTATATAGAACCCTTTTTAAAATGGTTCTATATAAAAGTATCTACAACACATTCTCCATCATAATGAAGAAGAACCATGTATTGATGCAAAGAACCCTTCAATCATCAAAGAGAAAGAACCCTGTAAGAACCATTTATTTTAAGAGTGTATAGAACCCTTGGCAGGCTTATATCCTTCTTCGCATGGTGAAATGGTTCTTCAGATTGGTGGAGAATGTGCTGTAAAAGGTTCTTCTATTATTACAAGCTTGAAATCGTAACAACAGAAGAACCCTTTTTGAAGCTATTTAGAACCCTCTTCAAAGAGGTTCTTTATAGAACCATCTACAGCACATTCTCCATCAATGTGAACAACAACCATTTAATGATGCAAAAAGAACCCTTTGTTCATGCAATGGGTTCTTTAAATGTTTATGGTTCTATATAGAAACATTGTCTTTACTAAAGAACCCCTAAAGAACCATCTTTTATTAAGAGTGTGTTTCTTTACATTATCATATCTACATCTTATAAAACCATCGTCATTTTAAAATTAATAACTGAATAAACGTCTAAGATTTGATAGGTTAAACTAATGAACTTCATCTCTTTTCACTTTTTAGAATGCATGCATTGGGGTGGGAATCTCCAGGCACCTCACGATTCGATTCAATTACGATTCAGAGGCTGCGATGTGATTATAAAACGATTATCTTATTTTTCTATACAGGATTTCTATCTTCTCACTGTGAAAAGGCAAAGAGAGAGATTTAAGACGAACATTTGGAGACGAACGGACTTATTCGCATTTATAAGCAGCGCAGTTGAACCTGCAATGAGAGACTGTCAAACACTAAAAAGTTGTGAAGATTAAGTCAACAAGAAAATTCGAACAAGAAGCTGGAGAATGAGAAACTGACTTCGTAAAACAGTCGAACGTTGAGAGACATTTTACAAGAAACTGTTCTACCTTTGAGGAAACGTGTCCTGGCGAAGACGGGAGGAAAGCGGCTACAGCTAAAGCTTAAAGCAGAGCGAAGTAAATCTGTGTTTTTGTTTATATTTTTTAAGCTGTACTACGACATCATCACATACTGAGACATACTGGACATTAAATGTTGTGGCTCCCAAGGTGGTTTGATTTGTGTTGAAAGGACAAAATGGCTCTTCTTAACATTTGTGTTGTGACTCCTGTCCTAACCTGGCTTTAATGCAGAGGGAGCCGGTCGGATTTCTCGCTCATCCAGTTGTGTTTTTGTTATGTGCCGCCACAGACTGTCCGGGCGCTGCACTTACCCACTTCCAGTTCCGCCTTTTGCGTTCCGTCAACATTACGTTATAAATTAAATATTCAGAAAATCGATTTTTGACATTTGTGAATCGATTCAGAATCGTCCACGTCCGCATCGCGATGCATCTAAGAATCGATTTTTCCTCCACCCCTAGCATGCACGGTAACACAGCATGCGTATGCAGCGTACAGACACATGAGTGTGTGTCTCTGTCCTCTTTCCCTGTGCTCGAATTCAGAGTCTTACTTGAACTGGCAGAATATGTCTGCGTATTCGGCGGAGATGCTGGACGCCTGCAGGACGGTCACTCTGAAGGTAAAGGTGCTGCCAATCTTCAGGTGCTGGAACACTTTGTCCTGCATTGTGTCCCCCGAGACCTCCAGAGTTTTCACAGGACTGCCAGGAACATCAGGACTATCTGCAAGACAACACAGCAAGAGACACATCACACACTCTGAACCACTTACAGACAGGAAGATAGAAGAACTGATCACCTGCATAATTTACTATATAATATGTAATTATGTAATCACATTTAAATAGAACAGCAAAACAAAAGCAAATACATTTGACTTTCGATCCTGAAGGAACTTGCTTAAGAACAACTTGCATGGAAAAATGAGCTCATCACGTATTTTTCTCATTACAGTGAGTAAAATAGTGTCATTTCTTTGGCTAATTACCTGTGCAGGTGTTGTTGTTGACCTCGTCAGCTGAGAGACTTATTTCAGAGTTTTGTCCCTCTCCCTCTACAATCCGCAGCTCCTCCTGCGATGTGTTGGAGTGGGACATCCCCCCGGAGCAAGAGTCCGTCTGAAACTGAGACAAAAAGGTCAGATTTGATTTCAGGTCGGGGTCTTAGGCTACGTTCACACAGCAGGTAAAAGTGGTACAAATCTGATTTTCTCACTAAATCTGATTGTTTTGTTTGGCTGTTCAGATTATCTTTTAAATGTGATCTGTATGCAACATCAGTCTGAACAGATCAGCTCCTAAACTGACCCGCATACAAAAGAACAGAGCGTCACGCTGCTTCACGGCTCATCCAGAGGTAAACAATCACGACTGCCAACGAGCGCCAGTCGCTCCCGGAGGATCAGCTTCATCTTCACCAGCATCACAGGAGCCACCATGAAGCTTCACTGACTGACAGCTTGGCTCATCACCCAGAATGTGTTCGAGCCGTAAAAAGGGCGTGGCCACTTCTTTGGTTCTCCTCGGATTCTTTAAACTTTGCTTTCAGACTTTTATCTGTTCTTTGACGCTGCAGCCTCGTTCTCCTGCGGCCGCGTTCGGCATTTCTTTCTAAATCTCTTCAAACTCGGAGGGTTTTGGATGAGTCTCTTCTAGTTTTTGGTACAGAAATATCACCCCAAATGTTTTTAGTCTCAGCAGCGCGAAATGATGATGAATGTGGAGCTGGATTGACGTAAAAACCGCATGAATTCCGATCTGGCTGTTCAGACTGAGCCGCACTGCTGCAGATCAGATACGTATCGGATTTCAGTACCACATACTAAAGAGCTCAAATCAGAATGTCAGATTCAGTGTGTTTATCTGTTCACACTGACACACAGACACACATCTGAGTCACACATGAAGAAAAAGGTGAGATTTGGGCCACTTTAACCTGCTGTGTGAACAAAGCTTTAAGTGCTGTTAGATTAACTGATTATTGTACTCGTGGTGGAGTAAAGTGCAGATTAAGCTGTTGTAATATATCATTGCCATCCAAAGAAAAACATTTCTCTCTAATTTTTCTGATTTGTAGTTTTCTACATCATTCGAGCAGATGATTTTACATTGTGAGACAATTTCATGATGAATGGACCAACAGTGCTGCTCCAAAATGGCCTGGAACAAAATCTCTTTACTACATTAAGAGTAAAGAACATTTTTGTCTCTCCTGTAAACTTACACTCTTAAAACAGGTGGTTCTTCTAGGGTTCTTTAGTAGAGAAAACAGTTCTATATAGAACCATAAACTCTTAAAGAACCCTTTGCATGATTAAATGGTTCTTTGCATGGTGACATGGGTCTTCAGAGTGATATAGAACCATCTACATCACTCTGCAATCTGAAGAACCCTCGGGAAATGGCTCTTCAGATTGATGGAGAACATGCTGTAGATGGTTCTATATAAAAGCTTTTTGAAAATGGTTCTATATAGCACCTAAAAGGGTTCTGCTTTATAGGTACAATATCAAACTTGTAACAACAGAAGAACCCTTTTTGGTGCTACACAGAACCCTTTTCAGAATTGATGGAAAAAGTGCAGAACTTTGCTACAGATGGTTCTATATAGAACCGTTTTGAAAAGGTTCTACACAGCACCCAAAAGGTTCTTCTACTGTTACAAGCTTGACAATAAAAGAACCCCTTTGGGCGCTATAAAGAACCCTTTTCAGAAAAGTTTCATATAGAACCATCTACAGCACACCAATCTGAAGAACTCTTTCATGACGCAAAGAACCCTTTAATCATGCAAAGGGTTCTATGAGTGTTTATGATTCTATATAGAACTATTTTCTTTACTAAAGAACCCTTAACGAACCACCTTTTTTAAGATTTTGGAGATGCTTGTTTTTCTTTGGACAGTGACGACTTGCACATCCTAAAGGATTTAAAAATCACAGACCTTCTCAAACTGCTGGTCCTCGAAGGAGATCTTTGCGGTTCCTGACTGCCGAACACCTGAGCCGTAGTCTGGAGCTTCTTCATCAGCTGTGAGGAGAAGATAAAGAGCTGCTGAGAGCCAGTTAAGCTTTCATTAAGGCTGCATGACTGAAAAATATTATGTTCATTTTCAGTTTAAAGCAAATATGAAGAGAGGAAAGCAAACATTAAGTGTTGTCCATCTCCCAAATAAAGGTACTATACTGTCACTGGGGCAGTGCCCCTCTTGTCACTGGGGTGGTTCCCTCAAGGGACCATCTCAGTACCTTTAGTCAGGGAACATAACTGAACCATAATCCACTGAAATGATATGTTCTAAGCTGTACTGACTCCACACACCCCGTCTCGTCTCCAGGCTTTTATTTTACTGTTCTGTTTAAAACATTCGGTTATGAAAAGGTACAAATACGAACTTTTCACCTGGAAACACTTATTTAAGGTTCACAATCAGACCTTAAAGCCACTGTTGTACCTTTGAGGGTACGTTATATTGTTTGTACCCTAATGAACGAAAAATGTACCTGTAGAGAACCTTTATTTGTAACAGCGTAGAAGCTCCACTCGTACCACCTGTACCATAAAAACTGAACCGAACTGTTTCTGCGCTGATTCTGAATAGGATTTCTCAAATCTTTAAAATCTACTTCACACTCAGCTCATCTAATAATATTTAAGTGCAACAAATGTGGTATCAATGTGACAAATGTGCCACATTCCGAAAAATGAACTGCTCCTACCTGAGATGGCCTGCACCGCCACCCGCAGGAAGCCTTTCACCTCGCCCTTCTCGCTCACTATGGCCACCCGGTGCACCAGCGGTACAGGATACAGCAGGTTGCTCAAATACACGAACGCCCTGCAGAGAGGAGGAAGGAGAGCGGGAGGGGTGCAGAGGTTTGGGAGGTTTGGAATAAGGTACGAGAGGTGGTGGGAAGACACAAGAACAAAATCAGTTAGGATGGAAAGAGCAGCGCAGGACGAGAAAAGAAAAGGTCAGTTTTGAAGGTCAACGCAGCCACACTGCCACGGGACGACACAATACTGAGACGCAAAAAAAGCAACTGAACAAGAAGCTGCTCCAGCAAAAGCAAACAAAAAGTGCCCATTTACATCTGCTGCTCGTCTCTCAACACCCGGTGAGCCGGTGGGATCTCTGTTTTCTGAGCAGGGCTGGTGAAGCGCCCCAAAATGCATGTTTGGAGGACGACTACACCAAAAACCTACACTCTGATGGTGGATTATTTTTTACTTTATTTCTGATTTGATTTCAATTTCATTTGAAATTCTTTTGACTTTTTGATTTGATGTCTTGATTTATTTACGATGTATTTTGCCTTATAATTTGATTGCATCTGATTTCTGATTTTGATTTGATTTCACAATTTATTCCTTGACCTTACACATAAATTTTCACGTTTGTTGAGGTTATTTCACTCATTTTGCATTTATAGTATGTCATCTAGTATTCGTTTGGTTAATGAAGCAAGTTAATTAATTGTAAGGTGGGAAGAGGAGGGAATGATGGGAAAGACTGAATAAAACATTCCCTGATTAGTAATCAATAAACTAAACATTGGCTGAGCTAGAGAGCCTCCTAATAAGGTAATATAGGGAAGCAGACTATGGACTGTTTGCGCTGGACTATCTAACGGGGAAAGAGGTTCTGGGCCCACAGAGGGGGCCGTACCAGATGACAGTTTAAGTTACAGCTGAGGGTCACTCTTGTATGTATATGGGGAGCTGTGCAAGAGGACCCTGTAAGGAGGGAACAGTCTAGTAAGAGACCAGAGTGGGTTTAAAAAAAGACATCAGACGCGTTTGGGTTTAAAGGCTACCAAAAAGGTGTAAGGTTTGGACATGATGGGGACTGAAATGGTATGGAATTGTGTAAAAGGGGTGGGGAGATGACCTCATCACCCCAGTGGGCAATAAAAAGTGATGTTTTGAGATGATATTCGCATTCTGGTTGACCGGGAACCATCTTGCCATTCAATGCTCAATAAAGCGAAGGCCTTTTCCTTCCACAAGAACTCAGAAGTCCTTTTCATTTCTGTTTATCCTTTTTCATTTTCGCTGATATTCTTTGATTCTTTTAGTTCTTTTTGAAGATGTTAGATTACAGACAGTTATTAGGGCAAATAGTATAGATAATATTAGAGTTCCTTATAAATGTCCAGACCCTGGGCAAAAAGAGAGAGCTCATAACTCCTCTCACAAACCGGACTCTTTTTGGCACACAGCCGGATTTTAGAAAGGCTACAGCGCCTGAGTGAAGGTAGAGCTGGGTTCAGATTCAGTTCAGCGATAGAGCTGCGAATGACGCAAGTGGACAAAATCTACATTAGACTTCAAGCTACAATCCTCGTTTTGTTCATATTTCAAGTGGAATAATTGATAATTAGCCTGTCAAACGTTTGGAGACACCCAGCTTCTAATAAATGAACAGTTTCCAAAGACTTAAGATGTCACATGATGGTTCTTCAGTAAGGAAAACGGTTCTATGTAGAAGCATGAACATTTAAAGAACCCTTTGCATAATCCAAGCGTTCTCTGTATCGTGAATTGGTCTTTCAGATGGATGGACAATGTGCTATAGATTTTTTGAAAAGGGTTCCACATACCACCAAAAAGGGTTCTTCTATTGTTACAAGCTTGACATCAACAATAGCAGAACCCTTTGTGGTGCAATATAGACGACTTTTCAAAAAGGTTCTATATAGAACCATCTGCAGCACTCTGCAATCTGAAGAACGCTTTCATGATGCAAGTAACCCTTTAATCATGCAAAGGGTTCTTTAAGTGTTCATGGTTCTATATAGAACCACTTTCTTTACTAAAGAACCCTTAAAGAACCATCTTTTTAAGAGTGTAGAAAAACTGCAAAAAGGATGGTTCTTCCTGGGTTCTTTAGTAAAGAAAATGGTTCTACATAGAGCCATGAACACTCAACTGATAGAAAATGAGCATGAATGTGTTATAGACGGTTCTATGTTTACGGTTCTAGGTTTTCTGAAAAAAGTTCTATACAGCACCCTAAAGAGTTCTTCTATTGTTACAAGCTTGACATCATAACAATAGAAATACCTTTTTGGGAGCTATAAAGAACCCTTTTCAAAATGGTTCTATATAGAACCATACAGCATACTCCCTCAACCCAAAGAACCATTTCTCCATGCAAAGAACCTTTTAATCATGCTAAGGGTTCTATAAAGCACCCAAAAGGGTTCTGCTATAGGTACGATATAAAAGAACCTGTTTTGGTGCTATATAGAACCCTTTTCAAAAAGGTTCTACATTTCAAAATGCAAACAACCCCTTATTTATGCAAATGCAAAGGGTTCTTTGAGTGTTCATGGTTCTATAAAGAATCATTTTCTTTACTAAAGAACCCTTGATCAAGCATTTAATCTCCTTGCTGTGATGTCAGAACTTATCAGCACTCGTTTCAAGTGTTTAAACCTCATTGGGGCAAAAAAGAGCCACATCTTTTAAAACTAGTTTGAAAATCATTATTTATCATTATTATTATTATTTAGGTAAAACGTCCTCCTCATACCAAGAAGTACATTTTGATGAACACAAAGCTGAGTTGAAGATACATCTAAAGAATCAGTGCACAGCCGGTATATGTTAATAAAGCCATTGCATGAATTTTTCCAACTTAATTGAAAAATAACTGGAAATCAAATATTACTAACAAAGACAAGGTGTCCCCAAACTTTTGGTGGGCAGTGTAGTTACCATGGTCTACTGAGCTTTAATGCCCAGTGCGCAGCGGCACGGCAGGAAGAGCTGAAGAGCGGCAGGAGGGGAGGAGCTGGAGACAAGATTGGTGAGGCGCAAAAATAGAGCATGCTCAGATAAAGAAAATATATAGTGAGAAAAACAAATTCAAAATTTGGCTTCGTCGGACGATGCAAACCGGAAAGCAAAAAGGGGGAAAAAATCGAAATGACATTAACATACATGACTTCAACTCCATGAACTCAAAAGTGAAATCAAAGTCAACACACGTCACATGTCTCTGGATGGCGCATGTGTGCGAGGGAGTGAAGGTGTGGAAGCCAATCCAGAAAAGAAAAAAAGTCGGGACAGTTTTTTTTTTTTTAGCTCTGGCATGCCTGGCCGAGACTGCTGCAGTCGAAACCAGCTCTTTCATCGTGAGGTCACTGGTCGGTTCAGCTTATCCACAATCAGCTCCAAACACCATAAACGTCTCAACAATCATATTTTGATTTCTTCATCTCAGTGCAGCAAAATGTGTTGTTTCATATCTAAATAACAAGTGATGTGAAGCACCAGCATGTAGCACCCCAATCCCATTTCACCCCTCGCCCCTACCACTTAGCCCTTAACCCCCCGTTTTGCGCGTTCACTCCTAGGGGTAGGGTGTCCTGATTCTAGTTGAGATAGAGGGGGTGAAGGGTTAGGGCTACATGGTCCATTTAAGGCAAAATCAGAAAAATTCAAACAAGAAGCTGGTGAATATCTGACTTCAGCTTCATATCACTGAAGAACTAGGGGTGGGTGATAATAAATAATTGCCCCCCCCTCTGAAGTCATATGATGCCCTAAACGTAACTAAAGCCCAGCAGTGAGGAGCTGAACTTTACCCTCCTCTGCTGTCACTGCAGACTGGCAGGGTCGCCTACAGAGCAGCGCTGGTAGCTGTTAATGAAGTGATGCTCTTTTTATTTCAGGGTCCCATTTCAGAGGGAAGATTTCACCAACACCCCTTTCAAATCAGTTCTAAGGGGCAAGGAGACCCTCGAGGGGTAGAGGTTAGGGGTAAAAATAAGAAATGGGACTGGGCACAAAGGTCCAAGACAGCAAGCACTTCTGATATGTCCACAATGCTCAAAGGTACAGGTGTTAAAGGAGTAACTCTAGTTACAGGAGAGACAGAAGCTCCCCCTTGTGGACAATTTTGTTAAATGTGAGTGAGTGAGTGATATTTACTTTTTAAAAAAGTAAATATATCTTATCCTCCACTACATATGATAGTTGTTTAATAGTTATTCACTCCCAGAAAACACTGAAAAAAAGGTGGCCCTTAATACAAACACCATGTTTATGGACCTTTCTACCCAATCAGTTCAAACTGCAGTCTCACATTAAAAAACTATTTAAGAACAATTAGGTATCTAGATCTTAGATGTTTACAAAGATTATATTCTGATCTAATTAAACCCAAGGCATTAATAGAGACAGTAATAACTAAATATATACAAAATCATCATTTATAGGGCACTTTCTATTGGGAGGATTCTGTCCCAAACCCTAAACCCTAAAATTAGACCTGTCAAAATAAAAAAAATGGTATTTTTGAAACATTTAGATTTTTAAAAAAATACTTTGTGTTTACTTTAAAAAACACTGTCACAACTTTACGTCACTACCGAAAAACAATACGTTTTTGTCTGTAGGCGGAGCCTTATTTTACCCACGCCCCTGCATTTTAGAGCAGGAAGTGAGGCTGCATCCCTGTCCCTCATGGCCACATGGTGAGCAGTTAGGTCCCATTGTTTCAAAGTAAACGTGTCCCAAAGTCTGAAAATCAGTAAAATTGTCACCACCGAAACAGTCACTACTGAAACACTTGGTAAAATTTGGATGTTATGATTGTTCTGGTAGTGATGTTCAATGGGATGTTCAATTATTAGTTTTAATAAAATAAAGATTTGAGTCTAAAGCCCACATCAGGTAAAAGCCCGAAATGCCTTTGATCTCTGACTTTGAATCAGTTTGGTAGAATCATCCTTCTATTAACAAAAATATGAAAATGCCGCTACAGCAACCATATTTTGTCACTATAATGAGGAACCAACACTGACTAGTTCACAGCTTCTAGTGGACCACTAGTGTAGTGTAGTGGGTAACACCTCTGCCTTCTATGCTGTAGACTGGGGTTCAGTCCCCTGCCTGGGTAATCACCCTACACTATACCAATAAGAGTCCTTGGGCAAGACTCCCAACACTACCTTCACCTACCTGTGTAAAATGATCAAACTGTAAGCCACTCTGGATAAGACCGTCTGCCAAATGCCATAAATGTAGTGGACATTATTCAATTAGTCAACTACCCTATACAATCTCCACTACAAATACTGTGCTATAGAGTACACACTGTAAAAAATCACACAGCTTTTAAAACTTAAAATGTAACAAAAAAGTTAACTTAAACTTTTGAGTGCAATAAACTTGTAGCATTAAGTTAACAGAAGAATAATTTGTTTTACATTTGTTACTGTATTATTGGAAATTTACCAAGCTCAGTATTTCAAGTTAATCCAGTTATTTGCTTTTTTAAGTGGTAAATAATTTAAATTCTCTACTGTCGTCATGTTGTTTTTCACCTCGTTCATTAGTTACCTGTCAAACAAAATCATTCACTGCCGCCTACTGCTTGACAATACTATCACGATAATACGGTCAGTGGGAGCTTTTAATTCAGGGGCAGGTGGGAGTGAGGTTGGGGGTGCAGTTGGGCTATTGGGAGTCTTCATGCTCTGTACTTTATACATGAAAGAAAACAGTAGCCACTCAGAAAGAGTGGTGTTTTTTTCATGAGTGAACACAGGAAAATAAATAATTCCACCAGCATGAAAAATGGTATATAAATAAAGATTATTATTATTATTATTCTCATTATTATTATTATTATTAGCCCCAGGCATGCTGCTTGGTTTCAGACATAGCCTCAGTGTGAAAGAGCTGGTTTCCTCTGGCAGCAGCGGAACTCCTGAAGCCTCACCAACCTTCCCACTAAACTGAACAGAGGCCAGCGGTCGTAAAAGGGGTCCTGGCCTTCGCTGGCTTGGGGGCACCGCGGCCCCTCCTGCGGCTCTGAGCCCCCGTCCTCTGCAAAGATCTCAGGGTCCAGGTCCTCCAACTCCTCCTCCAACTCCTCCTCCACCTTCCCATAATGCCGCTCGTCTGCGAGCTCGGTTATGTCAGACTCGGGGTCGGAGAGGGTGGGGGAGGGGGTGGGGTCTCTCATGCGCTCGCTCATGCACGTGTTCAGAATGGGGGTGCTGGAGCAGCCAGAGACACGGGAACTGGGTTAGTGCAACTCACACACACACAGTCTTCACTCCAACACACACACCAATGACCGCCTCGCACACCGTCACTACCGCCTCACATCACCTACAGCACCACAACCTGATTTACTGCAGAGAATACACTGAAAATCATAATACGATGATCTACTGTTCATATACTGTTCATATACTGTTCATAAACTGTTTATATACTGTTCATATACTGTTCACATACTGTTCATATACTGTTCACAGGTTTCAAATAAGACATTTACACTCTTTAAGACGGTTCTTCAAGGGTTCTATAGTAAGGAAAATGGTTCTAAATAGAACCATGAACACTTTGAATGAATAAAGGGTTCTATATAGCACCAAAAAGGGTTCTTCTACTACAATGTCAAGCTTGTTACACTAGAAGAACCCTTTTGGGTGCTTATAGAACCCTCTACAGCACATTCTCCATCAATCTGGAGAACACTTTCATGGTGCAAAGAATACTTTAATCATGCAAAGGGTTCTTTGAGTCTACATGGTTCTATAAGAAACCATTTCTTTGCTAAAGAACCCTTGAAGAACCATCCTTTTTAAAATAAACCATGAGAACTCAAAGAACCCTTTGCATGATTAAAGGGTTCTATACAGCACCAAAAAGTGTTATTCTACTGTTACAGTGTCAAGCTTGCTACAATTGAAGAACACTTTTGGGTGCTATATGGAACCCAAAAAGGTTCTATACAGAACTAGCTACAGCACATTCTCCATCAATCTGAAGAACCTATTCACAATGCAAAGAACCCTTTAATCATGCGTAGGGTTCTTTGAGTCTACATGGTTCTATATAGAACCATTTTCTATACTAAAGAACCCTTGAAGAACCATCCTTTTTTAAATAAACCTTGAACACTCAAAGAACCCTTTGCATGACTCAAGGGTTCTATATAGAACCAGAAAGGATTATTCTACTGTTACGATGTCAAGCTTGTTACAATTGAAGAACACTTTTGGGTGCTATATAGAACCCAAAAAGGTTCTATATAGAACCATCTACAGCACATTCTCCATCAGTCTGAAAAACACTTTCACAATGCAAAGAACCCTTTAATCATGCGTAGGGTTCTTTGAGTGTTCATGGTTCTATATAGAACAATTTTCTATACTAAAGAACCCTTGAAGAACCATCCTTTTTTAAATAAACCATGAACACTCAAAGAACCCTTTGCATGATTAAAGGGTTCTATATAGCACCAAAAAGGGCTATTCTACTGTTACAATGTCGAGCTTGTTACAATAGAAGAACCCTTTTTGGTGCTATATAGAACCCTTTATAAAAAGGTTCTGTATAAAACCTTCCACAGCACAATCTCCATCAATCTGAAGAACCCTTTCACAGTGCAATAACCCCTTTAATCATGCAAAGGCTTCTTTGAGTGTTCATGGTTCTATATAGAACCGTTTTCTATACTAAAGAAACCTTGAAGAACCATTCTTTTTTGCATAATTAAAGGGTTCTACATAGCACCAAAAAGTGTTCTTCTATTGTAACAGGCTTGCCATCGTAGCAGTAGAATAACCCTTTTTGGTGCTATACAGAACCCTTGAGTCATGCAAAGGGTTCCTTGAGTGTTCATGGTTTATTTAAAAAAGGATGGTTCTTCAAGGGTTCTTTAGTATAGAAAATGGTTTTATCCTCTAGTCCTTCATCAGTGGTCACAGGACGCTGCCCACAGGACGCTGTTGGCTGGATATTTTTGGTTGGTGGACTATTCTCACCCCCATGGACCCCCACAGAGCAGGTACTGTTTGGGTGGTGGATCATTCTCAGCACTGCAGTAACACTGACGTGGTGGTGGTGTGTTAGTGTGTGTTGCGCTGGTCTGAGTGGATCAGACACAGCAGTGCTGCTGGAGTTTTTAAACTCCTCAGTGTCGCTGCTGGACTGAGAATAGTCCACCAACCAAAAATATCCAGCCAACAGCGTCCTGTGGGCAGCGTCCTGTGGGCAGCGTCCTGTGGGCAGCGTCCTGTGACCACTGATGAAGGACCAGAGGATGACCAACAAACTGTGCAGCAGCAGATGAGCTATCGTCTCTGACTTTACATCTACAAGGTGGAGTTTAAAAACTCCAGCAGCACTGCTGTGTCTGATCCACTCAGGCCAGCACAACACACACTAACACACCACCACCACGCCAGTGTTACTGCAGTGCTGAGAATGATCCACCACCCAAATAGTACCTGCTCTGTGAGGGTCCATGGGGGTCCTGACCACTGAAGAACAGGGTAAAAGGGGGCTAACAAAGTATCAGAGAAACAGATGGACTACAGTCTGTAACTGTAGAACTACAAAGTGCACCTATATAGTAAGTGGAGCTGATAAAATGGACAATGAGCGTAGAAACAAGGAGGTGGTCAGAATGTTATGCCTGATCGGTGTATATAGTACACAGATATGTCTGTTCTCTTACTGTGTCAGGTGGAGGGGTTAGGCTAAGTTTCTGGTGTTCATGGGTCTTCGTGCAGCTCTGATCTGGTGCATTTAGTGAGTTAAGTCTATTGTGATGTGTAACTGTAGGTCAGTGCTGACTCACTGCTAATCTGTACAATTAATGTATTAAAGATTTAAATCTCCCTCTCACCCCTCATTATGTGCTATACCTCCTGCACCCAGACACTTCTTTCAGTCTCTTTATATTCACAGACACTTTCATATTCAAACACTGTCTGCAATTTTTTAATAATGTCTATGGTGCTGCGAACGACTATTATAAATAACAATATGCAATGATGATATATAGACAGTAGACACTGAGTGCGTATACATGCACTCAATAATCCGATCATAATCGGATTTCTGCAGTTATCTGATTCTTCAAATGGTCATGTAAGCACCTCGGATCTAGAAATCCAATTAAGAAATCTGACAGAGTCTGGATTTTAGCTCAGTAATCAGATTTCTCAGTGCATGTAAACTCTTACTCTGATTTCTTTCGGATCTTCTCAGTCTGTACATGCGCGAGATCAGAAGGTGGAGACCAAACACGAAATAAAGGATTTAAATCTTCTTCATCTTCTAGATGATGTCTGTTCATATTCTCAGGTAAAGTGGCGCGATGTTTAAAAAAAGCCACGTAATGAAGTTTGAGTTTTACGTTACGTTTACGTCGCGTCTTCCTCTGTGAGTTTATAGGCTGGTTGCAAAGTAGAAATCTGATTACTGTCTGACTCATGTAGACCTGGAGTTTCCCCATTATCTGATTACTCAAGAGCATATAGACGTGTTGATTGGATTACTGACAAAATCTGATTTTCTGCAGTTATCGGATTATTGAGTGCATGTATATGCCATCACTGAGTGTGTTTACACACACTCAATAATCCGATCATCATAATTTCGGATTTCTGCAGTTATCTGATTATTCACATGGGCATGTAAGCAGTGTATTTAGATATCTTAGATTGGAGTAAGGTCTAGAAATCTGATAAAGAGTCTGGATTTTAGCTCAGTAATCAGATTTCTCAGTGCATGTAAACTCTTACTCTGATTTCTTTCAGATTTCTAATGTGAAAACAGACTGCTGTACCGGAAATAAGCGAGCAGCGCTGCTGCAAAATGGCAGTAAAAACACTTTTGGAGCGACACTGAAACCAAATACAGGCTTAATGAAATGAAGGATTTAAATCTTCTTCATCTTCTAGATGATGTTCGTTCATATTTTCAGGTAAAGTGGCGCGATCTTAAAAAAAAAAAGCCACGTCATGAAGTTTGAGTTTTATGTTATGTTTACGTCACGTCTTCTTCTGTGAGTTTATTGGCTGGTTGTAAAGCAGAAATCTGATTACTACCTGACTCATGTAGACCCAGAGTTTCCCCATTATCTGATTACTCAAGTGCATGTAAATGCGTTGATCAGATTACTGACAAAATCTGATTTTCTGCAGTTATCAGATTATTAAGTGCATATAAACACACTCATTGCTGCTATAGACCGACAGCTGGTCTTTCTTTCCTTTCACTCCATTATCTACTGTCTTGTCTCTACTGTCCTGCACTGAACAGCTGTATACTTTATCATGTGTTATATAGAACTGTTTACGTGTAGTGTTTCGTATCATTTGCCTGTATTTATTGTCTGTCTGCACTCTTGTCTTCTGCTGTCCTGTGTTAAATACAGCACAGTGTCTGTGTAAACTATAGTTTTGTACTTATTCGACACATCTGAGGGGAGACGGGATGACAATAAAGCCGACTTTGACTTAACAGAAGTTCTGGCTCTGGGCAGTTCTAGGCAGGCTGCATGTAGCTTGATGCTCCATTCAGACTCACATTTACTAAGCATGATGCAGTGTTACAGGGTGATAGTAAAGGCAGAAGCTCAGCTGCTGCATCTCAAAGCAGTGAGGTGCATGCCACACACACACACACACACACACACTCACACTCACACACACACACTAGACTGGTAGGGCACTGACCGGCCTACGAGACGGAACCAGGGGAAGCGGTCGTAGAAAGGGTCACCGCCGGTTAGCGTGTGGTCACAGTCCTCCATGGCACTGCTGGGGACTTCTGCGGCACGATCGTACATTTCTCTCATCAGGTCCAGCCTCTGTCTGCAGAGAGCACAGCAAAGCAGGATTAATACCACCACTGAGCATTTCAGGTCTGCTGCTTTAAAGGGGAACTCCAATGAAATTTTCTGCATAATTAAGTGGTTCAGATGTAAACAGAGTCGTTCAGAGTGGTTTGGTGTGAAACGCTCTGTTCTAGATAAACTTACAGAGTCAGAATTGTTCACAGTGGTGGTGATAGGAACCAGACGTCCACCTCTAAAAGCTCCCTCACAGAAAGTTACTACATGAAATGGTCAGGACACCTTGTTTTGTGCAAGTTTTGGGATACATTTTTGTCTAAAATGTATTTTAATCAGTTTGTTTTAAACTGTTCATGGTGGAAGGATACAAGAAGGGTCCTGTGAGGCAAAACAGTCCCCAAACAAAAATCTTTTTTTTTTTTTCAGATTTGAATTTACCATCATCAACATTCCATATAAACTCAGAAGACTCGTGTAGGTTCACTGGTGGTTTTGGATAGTAAATAAAATGTCTATATTTGTGTTGTAGTCATGGCGACCCCTGGCTCCTATCACCACCACTGTAAAGAAACCTGAACCATTTCACACCAAACCACTCTGAATCACTCTGTTTACATCTCAAACACTGAACTAAGCAGAAATTTTTAACCCAATATATTTTTCCAGCTGTTTAACAGTAAATTAGTCATCTCTCATTCTCTTTTACCAAAATGGTGTTTATCGCCTTATATACATCACCATCAGGTTACTTGTCCATCATCAACGTTAACCGATTGTGTGAGTGTGAATCCTTTAAAATTTCGTATTTCAAAGATCCTTTTCATAAGTCATCCATTATACATCATGAAGTGGATTATTAGAATGTCTTTAATGTCCTCACACTAGTTAACCATATTTTGTGTAATCATTAATTCAATAAGCAAAAACATCAACCCTGTTATAAATTTACACCACTGTCAGCAAAGAAAACCTGTACAAAATAAAATACCGATCCTGAGATTGATGAATTAATTTTTTTGAATAGTTAAATGTTTTCTTAAATGCAATGTTGAAAAATGCTAAAAAATAACATTTACAAGGGCTAAATGGCCCCTTGGCACGATGGCGTTTAGGGCCACTGTTAATAAAAATAAAAGTAGTAGACTTGGAGAATAAAGTCACAATATTTCGAGAATAAAGTCGTAATATTTGGAGGATAAAGTGGGCTGACTGTAGGGGGGCTATCTGTAGGGGGGCTAACTGTAGGAGGGCTGTTTGTGTTGGGGTCTCGGTTGCTGTCCTGGCGCCGGAGCTCCACTCACTCCTGTCTCTCTGTGGATCATTTTGATCATCATTCTCACTGTCTGTGAAACTTCATGCCCTCTTTGAATGGGGGGAGATGTAGCCCCCGATAGCCGTGTAGACGACCCTGCCTGAGATTCTCCTTCAACAACACAGACAGACAGTTTCCTCCGAGTCCGTCTGGCTCTTTATTCTAGATAAACTCAGTTTCCTGCTCAGCCGTTTCAGCCGGTTCTTATACTAATAACAGGCTGGTGCTGATGTGCAGGAGAGACAGGGAGACTGAGTGTTTCTTTATGGGTGAATCGATATGAAAGTAGAACTTTTAACTCCTCACCGCCCCTCATTTAACACGAGGAGGTGCTGCCTTTAGCAAACACTTTGGCCACAATATTGCGACCTTTCCTGGTATTAATGCCACTTTAATGTCGGAATTTTACAACTTTATTCTCAAAATATTATGATTTTATTTTAGCTGCTGCTGTTTTTACCTGTGCAAAATTTTCCATTTTTATACAGAGGATGTTTTTATGCAGTACTGCACAAATAAGCCGTACAAGGCCTGTTTCACCACACCTCAGCTTCTCTAAGGTCCAGTAGTGTGTGGCTCCATTTTTCTGGTCCTGAACCTCCACTGCTACGATGGTACGAGGGAAGGGTCTTTTCTCTCGGTCCTTAGCTACACTGGGGGGCAGGAGATCAGGAGGGAGTGGAGAGTAGAGTGTGTCTGTCAGCAGCACAAACTGGAACTGAACCTGGAGGGATGACACACATTGCAGCAATGAGTAATAAACAAAAACATAACACTCTTGGGCCCAATCAGATTTCTTATTTTTACCCCTACCCCTTGTTTTCGAGTGTCACCTTGCCCCTTGGAACTGAGCTACAAGTTGTAGTGGTTGAAATCTTCCCTCTGAAATGGGACCCTCAAATAAAAAGAGCATCACTTCATTAACAGCTACCAGCGCTGCTCTGTAGGCGACCCTGCCAGTCTGCAGTGACAGCAGAGGAGGGTAAAGTTCAGCTCCTCACTGCTGGGCTTTAGTTACATTTAGGGAATCATATGACTTCAAAGAGGGGGGCAATTATTTATCATCACCAATTCACCAATTCATCATCAATTCTTCAGTGATGTGAAGTTGAAGTCAGATATTCACCAGGTTTTATTTGAATTTTCCTGTTCCACCTTAAATGATGCAGCAGATACATTCTGGCACCTCAGATGTCAGAACTGCTGCACCATTTAAGGTGGAATTGGAAAATTTAGCTAGCTAGCTACTGAGACGTCATCATACTACTAGTGATTTTTCTTGCTTGTTCTGAAGAAAAGGACCATTATACACTGAAACAACAGTTCACTAAGATAAAACAGTGGTTACCGTAATTTTTTAACAAAATTCTCACATTTGTGGGTTTCTTTGATCTCTTGTTCAGCCATCCTGCCGGGTTTTGTCTTCTTTTCTCATAACTCTCTGTTTGGAGTCTCTGAAAAACCTCCGTTTGGAGGGTCATGTAGCCCCAACACTTCACCCTACCCCTCTATCTCAACAAGAATCGGGACACCCTACCCCTAGACGAGAATGCACAAAACAGAGGGCTAAGGGCTCAGTGGTAGGGGCGAGGGGTGAAATGGGATTGGGCCTTAGTGTGCACATATTTAGCATGGGTTGCTACAGGTTTAGAATAACAGAGAACAGAGATGGGCGGCAACACTAAAAACGAGATGGATTCTAGAATAGTTCTGCACTTCTGACAGTAGTATTAGTGGACATAAGCGAAGATGTTTCATCCAGTTAAAGGTGTCAACACTATAACAGCCAATGAGAGCAGCTCACCTTCTTCTTCAGCTCGACGCTGATGGCGTTGGCCTCTTTGAGGAAGATGGCATTGCCCCACAGCAGGTCTCGCAGAGAGGTGAACTGGTAGAAGCGCCATTTCCGGAAAGCCCAGAGCGCCAGCTCAGTCTCCCGCTTGGTCCAGGCAACTGCTAGGAACAAAAACATATATCATATTAAAACTGTGAGGCTTGTTAGAGTATCTCAGAGATACCAGAGGGAAATCTTTTCAGTGGATTGTTTACTGACAATACATACATTTTGGGGAAACGAGGCATTAAGGACACAAACTACTCTCCACTACAAAACAACAGTGTCTGTGTTCACACGCAAAGATTTTTGCCAATCTGCTTGAATACATCCGATTATAGATTAAGACTGAGGTGTTTATTCTCACTCTACTCAACAATCTGATGGAAAACCTCTGTTTACATGCTCACTACAAGTAATTCAATCTAAAATTATGCGCATGCATAGAGAACCGCTTAGTGTAGACGTTACCATGACAACCAGCATCACGTGAGTCCGGTCAGAGTGAGATGAGCAGCAGTGAGCAGTGCTTGTGTTTTTAATTACTTTAAAATGATGTCAGACTCAGGAAAACGTCCTTCACATGTCCTTATTAAAGGAGGCCGAGAGGAAGACGTCGTGTTCTGAGACACATAAGCTGGACGTCCGTCCCACCGCCGTCTTTTAAAGACCAGAGCATAAACTTCGTCTCCTCTGCAGACCAGTTTCTGCTCCGCCATGTTGAACGGTATAAACTCTCACTATGACGCGACGAACATGATCAGAACGGACTTAAACTTTCTGATAGGGAATGTAATCAGATACAGGCGTTTACACGGATATTATTCTTCTATTTAATGGATTATTTACAGGATTACTCACCTCGTTCAATCGGATAGAGATTTTATTCCGAATGGCCTCAATCGGACTAGTCTAGCCCGACTGACTTGTATACATGGATGTATTCTGTTCCTATTAGTCGGATTATTAATGGATTATTAGGCTGCATGTAAATGTGGCTATTCATGTGGTTCTGGATACTAAAACACTGGTCAGCAATGACCCCCGTGGTAAAAGCAACAGTTACTTCTTTGTGCTGATACAAAGTTGTCATTAACTTAGTCTTTTCTAAGTACAAATGTGTTTGTTTCTCACCCTCTTCCTCTGGTTCCTCTTCCTCCTCTGTGGTCTCTGGGTAATACCGGGAGTCAACCTGCCTCTGAAGAGCCTCCAGCTTGCTCTCATAGTCCTGAAAATTAAACCAGGTCATGATCAGGTCATGATTTTGTCTTTTCACTTGTATAAACTATTCAATGCCCTCTCTGGAGCTGTAAAAGCCAACAGTCTTACCAGTCTTTGCTGCTCAAGAAGGTTGCTTGCTTCTTCTCTCTCTCTGCGGTACTGATCCTCAAGCTCCTGCAATCTGTAAACACAGCATGTAACATAACAACAGTAACTACACTTGGGTTAGAGACATTACTCTAAGCAGAAGGCTTAATTCTGAATGAAGGTCATATGCACAAATAAATATCTAGGGTAAAAATGCAGACTGGATCTGTGGTTTCCAACACCACCTTGGGAGCCACAACATTTTATGTCAATTAACGCTTTACCATGTTGGCTGTAAATATGACTCAGTATGTGCTGATGTCCTATTATAGGCTAAAAATATAAGAAAACAAAAACACAGATTACTCTCCGTTAAGTTTAAGCACAGCTATAGTCGCGTTTCTCGCATCTCCGGCAGGAAACCTCTTCTAAAAAGTAGAACAGTTTCTTGTAAAATGTCTCACAACATTTGACTTTTTACGAGGCTGAAGTCGCTTCTCATTCGCCAGCTTCTTGTTCGGATTTTCCCGTTCCACCTTAAATGGTGCCTGAGGCACCAGAATGTAACTCCTGCACCATTTAAGGATGGAACGGGACACTTCGAACAAGAAGCTGGTGACTGAGAAACTGACTTCAGCTTTAAGCCTGTGATATTAGTGATGGAGTTGTTTAGCATCTTTTAACCTGTTAGCTAGCCGACCAAACTAGTTCTAGTTAAGAAAATAAGCTGTCAGCTCCTCAGTTTAAACAGAACCGGGTTCTCACTTCATCAGTACATTCGGTGCTCCACGCGAGCATCAAAAATGATTCCATTATCAGCACAAGGGATTTTTCGTGCCGTGCCGCAGTGATACAGAGATCAGTTGTTGTGAGGCGGTCATAGCCGTGCATGTATCGTGTATTTTGGCTTCAAACGCAGCTCAGCCAATCAGATTTTAGGACCAGAACTATCCGTTTTATAATGATGAATCTTGTACATCTGGACACTCCACACCTGGACACTTTATTTCAGTACCAATATATGCACATATTTATTCAGTATTGTCATTATATGCTGTTACCTGCACCACCTTGTGCAGTCAGGATAGATCTTATTGCAGATTTTTGTATATTTCTAGTTGTATATATGCCTGTATCTATCTATCTATCTATGTATCTATCTATCTATCTATCTATCTATCTATGATGATATACTAGTCTGTCTCTCCGCCTGTCTACTTGTCTGTCTGACTATCTTCTGTCAGCCAATTTATGTCTATCAATCTATCTATCTATCTATGTATGTATGTATGTATCTATCTATCTATCTACCTAAATAATGAATCAGTTGTCAGCTGACTCTTAATAGGCTGTATCTGACTGAATGTTCCACCGTACCTCTGCTCCATTTCCTGTTTCATGTCTATGCCCTGTTTCTCCAGCAGCTCTCTCTGGGCGAAGGCCCAGTCCACAGGCTCTACGGGCGTCTCAGCGCAGGGGGTGCGCTCCCGCTCCTGCCTCGCCTGCTCTGGGTCATTAAAGCGGAACACATGGCTCTTCCCCATGATGATACGGTTCCCTAAGAGGAACACATGGAAACAAGGTTAAAGTTTATGACCAGCTTGAACTCACCTTCTCTCTTGAACCTAATGCTGATTATGTAACTGGCTCATCTGCATAAAAGTAAAGCAATTATGTGCAATTATCGCCAAATTACTACATATAGCCCAGACTGAAACATCATAGCCTGGATGTATTACGCTACAGACACATCACTCACTGACTATAACACTGCATAGCAGCAAAAAGAAACATGACACTATGAGAGATCCTTTAGTTTGGACACTGTCAAAAACCAAAAAACCTTCTGTCAGAAAATTTCCAGCACATGTTCCACTAGTCAACAGACAAATCTTCCACCTATTTAACATGAAATTATAAATAATTATATAATAAAAATTAGATAACCGAACATTACGAGTTAATTTTGTGCCAAAAGTTTCAAATAAAATAATGAAATCCACAAGCAAAAATTTAAGTACCAAAATGTCCAAAATATGTTGCAAATACAAATAATAAGAGTTAAATCAGACCTGACTTTTCTGAAAGATAACTACTCCTTTTACCTCACTGTGATATTAATTTATCACTTATGTTGTCATTTTTTGCTTTATTTTTGTCTATTTTTTTCTATTTGCTGATTTTGCTGATTGCACTCTCTATTACTCAGCTGAAATCAGTTGACCAGTGGAGAGGGCAGGTGAACGCCCTCTTCTAAGACCTGTCCCCTGTTAGAAAGTTCCACAAGTCAGAAGCAAAAGAGCGATTTAAGAAGCAAAAAATATATCAGCAAAATCAGCAAACAGAAACAAATTAAAGCAAAAACGGGCAAAAAGAGTGAGACATTTATATCAGAATGACTGAAAATGACTAGTAATCTTTCTGAAAAGGTTTCATTTAACTCTCAAACACTTCATATTTTGCTTGTGGATTATTTTATTTGAAACTTTCGGCATAAAATTAACTCCATAGCACATCCAGTCAAAAGAAAATACTAAAATAACATAAAATAATAAAATAAAACAAGCCTTTACTTAGAAAAACCTTCAGTCTGACAGACCAGAGAGCTTCACAGTAGTGCAGCCCTCCAGGACTGGAGTTAACCCAGATGCTGTGGACTCACCTGATCTGAGCACGGTGGGCTCTGTCACTTTCTTGCCGTTAACGTAGGTCTCGGCGTCCTTGCAAGGCTCCAGAACAACCACGCCCTCGCCTGACGGGCTGGTGCTACTGGTGAAGATACAGTGCTCTTCTTTAATAAAGTGACCGCTCAGGACAATGTCTTGCCTACAGCTGGCGTCCTCACGGCCGACCCTGGAGACAGAGAGGGATTCATTGGTCATAAAGGACATGCGGCTGGCAAAAATCTCAGAGAGGAAGCAAATATCGGTCCACTGGCTTGACAAGGTCGGCACCCCGCTGACTGTTTGCCACTACTGGTCCATCCTTGGACCAACCAGATTACTGTTCTGCATACAAGGACTAACTCGTTTTTTTAATCTTCTCAGACAGATTTTAAATGCACACAGACTTTTATTTTGGAAAATGCACTTATTGACAATGACAAATAATGACAAATATTACAAACAACTGAGAGAATAAAATAATGACTAGAACTAGTATAAAATGATTTTATAGACCATGTTGTTACTGACACTGTGCTAGATTAATATTAATTTTAATTAATTTACAAAGAATAACTAAAGAAAGGAAAGAGGGAAAAATAAGTAATGTGGGCTGTGAGTGGAAAATGAGCGATGACCAGTGGAATTTTGTCTATGACTCTGCTTAACCACCTGTGGGCCGCCTAGAAAACGCTGAGCAAAATGCCGGCGGACCACCAGCTTTGCCATCGGTGAGCCAACAGGGGTCCACTATCCTCTGGCTATCAGGGTTGCATTCAATTGTTTTTTTTTTTTTTCAGATCTATGTTAATAAAACAGTCTGCCAAGGCAAAGAATGGACCTTTTTCACAGTCACTGCGTCGTCACATCCGGCTGTAAATAGTAGCTTTATCGAACTTCCGCCTGCACCGATGAACAGAGCAGCAATAGAGGGTCTCTGGTTTTCAGCATCCCTCACAAATCGTCCTTCGGCCTCAGCTCGGTTAATAGAAGAGCAGTTGGCGTGTGTAGAAAGGCCAGTCTGACATGGCTAAAGCTTGTCGCGCAAAACTTAAAACCATTTAGACTCTGTATGAATCTGCGCATCTGGCGCTGTTGACTCCACTGTGTGGAGCTCTGGGGCAGCCCGGTAAACATAGTACACTGCAGCAGACAACGGAGCCACGAATCCCACGTCTGAAAGCGCATCTCCATATCAAAGCAGCTGCATTCAGACGGCAGAACTTTAAGGAATTGGCCTGAGACGGGTTTTGCAAAGCGGAGAAGAAGCAGAGCAGATTATTATGTTCAACACCACATCACACCCCCCTAAACAGACCTGCTCTCACTGCGCTTTATTCTGGAGAAAAAGTCCACCAGGTTTAGTTTTTCCTACTCAGTCCATGTAAACATTAGCAAAAGCCCTGAACACCAAAACCAGCTCAGAGACACAGCGTCGTATTTCTACAGTACAGTTGAGTACAGTGGAGAGGAGTCAGTGTATGTGAATGAATGTTTGTTACGGAGTGTTTTTAATCACAGATGTGAGTGAATCTGTCCTGTACAGCCCGTTTTCACTCTCAGCGTTACTCCCTTTTTGATTGGCTACCTCGTTAAAAGTGACACATGACGAGCGGAGCTTTTCAGCTGAAGCTGAACATTTTTAAACCTGATCGAGTGGAAACTCAGGTGAGGCTGTTCAGTTGAATTATTGGTGCATCAGGATCGCAGCAATGATTTCGGGCAGTATCAGCCATTGTTTACAGTGTGACTGGAAACCGTTTAACGCTCCCATTTACTCTTCCACATTAACGAACACAGAAGTGTGAAAATGGTCTATATAAGTATCCGTAAGTCATTATACGTCACATTTATTTCCAGCTTGAATGGAATGATTACTTTATGTGAGAATAAAAAAATATTAACATCTATTAATGTAGCTTTAATCATGGGTGGTTATCAGGGGTAGCTGGGATTTTCAAATATCGCAAAAAACATTTAAAATAGATGTATGAGGTTTAATAAGCACAGCTGGTTTACTGTAGAGACACTGCAGTCGTAAAATATGCTGTTCTAAGTTTATGCTGTACACTGTTAAAAAAGATGGTGCTTCAAGGGTTCTTTAGTAAAGAAAATGGTTCTTTATAGAACCCTGAATACTCAAAGAGCCCTTTGCATGATTAAAGGGTTCTTTGCATCATGAAATGGTTGTTCAGACTGATAGAGAATGTGTAGTAGATGGTTCTATATAGAACCTTTTTGAAAATAGTTGTATATAGAACCCAAAAGCGTTCCTCTATTGCAACGATATCAGGCTTGTAACAACAGAAGAACCTTTTTGGGTGCTATATAGGACCCATTTACAATGGAAAGAACCCTTTAATCATGCAAAGGGTTCTTTCGATGTTCATGGTTCTACTGTCTTTACTAAAGAACCCTTGAAGCACCATCTTTTTAAGGAGTGTACGAAACCAAAGCGGTTCCTTTTTGAAAAGGGTTCTATACAGCACCAAAACGAGTTCTATTGACACAGGAACAACAGAAGAACCATTTTAGGTGCTATATAGAATGATTTTTGAAAATGTTCTATATAGAACCACCTACAGCACACTCTCCATCAATCTGAAGAACACTGTCATGATGCAAAGAACCCTTTAATCATGCAAAGGGTTCTCTGAGCGTTCACGGTTCTATATAGAACCACTGTCTTGAAGCACCATCTTTTTTAAGAGTGTTCTTCTTAAAGCTCTTACTTGGTGATGCCGTCTTTGATGTAGTACAGTAGGCACTCGGACATCAGTGGGTCTTCGTTCAGGTTGACCAGGTGAGGCGTCTGAAATGTAAACACTGTTATCACTGCCATTTTTCAGTTATCTGTTCACGATAACATGTAAACAGGACTCATTGTGGACCTCTTACCTTTTTGGGAGAGAACACTCCCACCGTGCCTCCATCCTCCCTCATGGCCACTCCCATTTCAGCCAAAAGAGCCTCCCTACACAGAAAAGTGGACAGGCCTACATTTTATAGCTAAACAGGTCACACTACACGATTGTTACCTCGAGTTTAGCCCCGATTCTCAGTCTGGCCGAGTCTGTGCTGGTCGGCTCTGGTCTGCAGGTTTTTGGGTCAGTTGGAATCGACAGTTGGAGAGAGAATCGAGTCGAGTGTGAGGGGCACAGACTCAGATTTTTGACCTCCCGATTGTATTTCAGACCAGTAGTGTAAACTGATCAACGACTCAATCTGAACAGACTCCTGCAACAGCCAATGAAAACTGAGAGCACGAAAGAAGAAAAATACAGCAAGTAAACAAAGAAAAAGTCTCTCACATGCAGAGCGAAGCTTTTTAATGAGCTGAGTTTAAGGTACAATCGAGTTTATGTACATTTAAAACCCTAAAAAATACCTCAGTGATCACATTTTTACATCCATGATCCCCATTTAAACGTTTACCTGCGGCTTCTTTACTGTTTCGGCACAAACGGCAGAGAAAACAGCAGCAGCAGCTCCGCGTTTGTTTATCTAGGTCTCCTAATAACGGGAGAACGGAGAAAAATCTGCAAAACCAGCTGGATAGTGTCAGATGCCCAGTCTTTAGTCTGAGCAGATTATAATAAGACTGGGCGTCTCACACTGTCAGACTGGTTTTTGTAGATTTTTTTGGGCGACTGAAATATTAAGGAATCCCACACTAAACGATTAGGGATATTAGGGATCACACACTACTCAACTTTTAAGCAGCTGCTGAATCGAAAGGAGCTAACTAAACTCACGCAAACTCCTCACGCAAACTCCTCACGCAAACTCCTCACGCAAACTCCTCACGCAAACTCTTGCGATACTAGCAAACACAAATAAACAAAAGTGGAGCTGCTGCTGCTGTTTTCTCTGCCGTTTGCGCTGAAACAGTAAAGAAGCAGGTAAACATGTTAAAGTGGATCATGGATTTAAAATGTGATCAGTTGGTATTTTCAGAGTTTTAAATGTATATAAACTCAACTGTGCCTTAAACCAAACTCATTAAAAAGCTTTTAATGAGAGACTTTTCACCATTTTTCTTTGTTTACTTGCTGTATTTTAATCTTTTGCACTCTCAGTCTTCATTGGCTGTTGCAGGAGTCTGCCCCATGACTCCACTCTCTCTCCAACTGTGACTCTGACCGACCCAAAAACCTGCAGACTAGAGCCGTCCAGCTCAGACTCAGCCAGACTGAGAATCGGGGCTAAAATCGGGGTAAAAGTCGTGTAATGTACCCAAGGCTTTATAGGTCGTGGGAAATAACTGAATAAATGCAATTTATGAAGGTTGTAGCACACGGGGCCAGTCTGACCTCTCCATCCTGATGGCCTCCGTACGCCGCAGCTTCTCCTCCCAGGTCTCGTTGAGCTCTGCTATGATCTTCTCTGTTTCCTAACAGGACGAAAAGACACAGTGAAACAGGAGTAAATAAGGAGAATTCACTAATAAGAGTTAAACATCAACCATGTAACAGGAGAAAAGCCATTTGTGTGCCCCAAATTGTGGAACAGTTCTTCATTAGTGAAGACAGTGGTTCTATATAGAACCATGAGCACCGTAAGAACCTTTTGCATGAATAAAGGATTCTTTGCATAGTGAAAGGGTTCTATATAAGGTTCTTCTACCCTTTCATGATGCAAAGAACCCTTTAATCATGCAAAGGGTTCTTTGAGGGTTCATGGTTCTATATAGAACCCTTTTCTTTACTAAAAAACCCCTGAAGAATCTTCTTTTTTATGTGTGAAACTTGACGTTGTAACAAAAGAACGCTTTTGGTGCTACATAGAAACTGTTTTCAGAAAGGTTCTATACAGAAGCATCTATAGCACATTCTCCATCAATCTGAAGAAAATGTTCATGATGCAACGAACCCTTTAATCAGGCACAGGGTTCTTTCGGTGTTCATGGTACTATGTAGAACCATTGTCTTTACTAAAGAACCATTGAAGAACCATCTTTTTTTCAGCGTGTTCTATTATTTTGGATATTTTGCTTTTGAATTTACATGCTTTCTGTTTTATATTGTGTAAAGCTGCCATGTGGTACTTATTAAGTATAAAATGTAAAATACTATAAATAAAGTTTACAGTGTCCACTTACTGGCCACTTTATTAGAAACACCAACCTTGTACTTACACTCACTGGCCACTTTATTAGAAACACCTATCTTGTACTTTCACTCACTGGCCACTTTATTAGAAACCCCTACCTTGTGCTTCCACTAACTGTCCACTTTATTAGAAACACCAACCTTGTACTTACACTCACTGGCCACTTTATTAGAAACACCTACCTTGTACTTCCACTAACTGGCCACTTTATTAGAAACACCTACCTTGTACTTCCACTAACTGGCCACTTTATTAGAAACCCCTACCCTGTACTTCCACTAACTGGCCACTTTATTAGAAACACCTGTCTTGTTCTAGGGGTGTAACGATACACTCAGCCCACCACTGATTCACGATACTGGGCCCACGATTCGGTATTCTTAGGATATTTTAACAAAATTTAATTAAAATTTAATTTTAGGAAATTTGTTGCTGTTGCTGCACCTTCTAACAATACCAGAGCTGGAATGTTGGTATGAGTGTATCAGACACAGTGGTTTTGCTGGGGTTTTGCTGTGGTTACCTTCAGCCTCTCGATGGCCTCCTCACTGCCGGGGCTGAACATGATGCGGTCGTGCAGGCTGCTGATGGAGCCGGCCCGGCTGGACAGGGCCGAAAGAGACGGGGACGGACTCATCCCTGTCATGGCATTGGTCACTGTGGAGAGACGACCCCTTTGACTGACAGCCTGGAGACTACTGACATTAGCCTTGTAATTGGACAAATCTGGCCAGGAAGATTTTGGAAAAAAAAGAACGGGAGCACAAGGCCGGAAAATCATGGGAAGAAGTGGAAGTTAGAGAAACGGAGAATCATGGACACAGGGAGCAAGGAGCAAGGGAGAGTAGAAAGCGTGAGAAAGCTTCGTTTAATTACGGGAACTTAAAAGCAGAATGAAGCAAAACAATGGGCATAAATTTGAGGGCTTTTGATTCGTCACTAAGAAACCAGTGCTTTCTTTTTTGGTATTTTATGTGTGAATCATATCAATAATCCTTCCTTTTTCAAGTCAAATTATTAATCCCTAAAGCACGCCTCAAATTCATTTCAGCACTGTGACCATGCTTCGGCCATAAGCATAGAGACGTGCTGTCCAAGAGGCTGCTAGAGCAAGAGGGCGAAGGGCAAAGCCAGGGCAGACTAGTTAAACCTCATCCTCTAAATTAAAATGAACCCAAAGCATCTGCAATCAGCAGAGAAACCCTGGAGCACCAACAATCCCTCGCTCCATGGACACATTAGAATAGACTGGTTCACTTTGGGAGCGTGTGGGACTGTGGTGGTCTAGAGCAGCCTGCTTCAGCCTTAGTAAGCTGCAAAGCACTGGGGTCGAAAAATACACACATTTCAGAGCCGCTACTCCAGGCCCGGTCGCGCGATATGCTGAGAGAAAAGAGAGAGGAAGAGAGACACACTCTCAGATACAGCTACATACTAGCACTCAGGATACTGGCTTCACCAGCAGGCCTTAAAGTCACAGTTCACTCACACAGTTTCCCACATTACTCCAGATGTACACACCTAAAAATGATGGTTCTTCAAGGGTTCTTAGTAAAGAAAATGGTTCTACACTGCAAAAAGTAGTATGTTGTCAAGTAAAAATCTTAAATATAGTCAATAAATCTAATATTTCTCCTGTTGAGATGGTTGTAAGATTAATTTAAGATTATTTAATACATTTCTAAACTTTTTCTACCTGTTTTAAGTTATTTTATTAAGCAAATCTCACAATATTAGCAGATAATTTTGCTTGTTTTAAGAAAAGTGCTTGTTATCTGCCAGAAAAGTGAGAGAATTTTACCTAATAAAAATACAAAAAAATAAAAACATCTAAATGTCTGAAACGTAAAAATGTCTAAAAATAAGCTAAATTATCTTACAATAAGTGCACAACCATCTCAAAATAAGAAATATTAGATGTTAGATCGACTAGAATTAAGATAATTTCACCTGACAAAAAACATTTTTTTTGCAGTGTATCTAGAACCATGAACACTCATGTATGATTAAAGGGTTCTTTGCAGGGTAAAAGGGTTCTTCAGCTTGATGGAGAACGCGGTTTTTGGAAAAGGGCTCTATATAGCACCAAAAAGGGTTCTTCTATTGTAACAAGCCTGACATCGTAACAATAAAAGAACCCTTTTTGGTCCTATATAGAACGCTTTTCAAAAAGGTTCTATATAGAACCATCTACAGCACATTTTCCATCAATCTGACGAACACCTTCACGATACAAAGAACCCACTAATCCTGCTAAGGGTTCTTTGAATGTTCATGGTTCTATATAGAACCATTTTCGTTATTAAAGAATCCTTGAAGAACCTCAGTTTTTAAGTGTGTAGTCAAGCTAAGACGTTTGGTGTCTGAAGTTCTGTGGTTTTGCACTGGAGCTATGAGCTAACATGTAATAGAACCATAGGACCACCAATTAGCATCGTGCAAACTGCATCTGTGTGTGTGTGTGTGCTGTGTGTGTGTGTGTGTGCGTGCGTGTGTGTGTATCATATATAAGATAGCAGTACGTCATATGTTGTCACAGACTACATAACCAAGTCTATACTCTTAAAGATGGTTCTTCAAGGGTTCTTATATAGAATATATAGAACCATGAACGCTCAGAAGACACTTTGCATGATTAAAGGGTTCTTTGCATCATGAAAGCGTTCTTCAGATTGATGGAGAATGTGCTGTAGATAGTTCTACATAGAACCTTTTTGAAAGCACCCAAAAAGGGTTTTTTATCAAGTTTGTAACAGTAGAAGAACCCTTTTTGGTGCTATATAGAACCCTCTCATGATGCAAAGAACCCTTTAATCATGCATGGTGCTATATAGAACCATTTTCTTTACCAAAGAACCCTTGAAGAACCACCATTCGAGTGTGTACAGCACTGGCTGACGTAATGTCCTCAACCTTTTGTTCATTTTGTTTTTAGTATTTGATCCTGGATAGTTTACATAGCTCTATATTAGAATCTGATCGCATCTAGAACCATGTAGAAACCTAAAGCTGACCCAAGCTGATCTCTAAACCAAAAGTTTGGTCTGTTTTAGATTAGATGTTAGCTAGAACAGTCTGTGCAACTCCAAATCACCTTGTGTCCTCACAGAATCATAGCAGCTACCAACAGTTCTTTGCATCATGAAAGCGTTCTTCACACTGATGGACAATGTGCTGTAGATGGTTCTATATAGAATCTTTTTGAAAAGGGATCTATATAGCATCAAAAAGGGTTCTTCTACTGTTACGGTTTCAAGCTCGTAACAATAGAAGAACCCTTTTGGACGCTATATGGAAACCTTTTCAAAAAAGTTCTACATGGAACCATCTACAGGAGATTCATGCTCATTTTGCATCAGTGTGAAGAACCCTTTCATGATGCAAAGAACCCTTTAATCATGCAAAGGGTTCTTTGAGTGTTTATGGTTCTATCTAGAACCATTTTCTTGACTAAAGAACCACTGAAGCTCCATCTTTTACAAGAGTGTATTTGACACTGCTCAACAACTCCACATGGTTTAATGCGAGTGTGTGAAGATTTAGGCCTGCAGTTAGCACCATGCTAACTTGGGGGGTATAAACATCAATTACTTGATAGCCACATCAGCCTCACAGCTCCAGGGAAAAACTAGAGAAGCAATCTTCATGTGTGTCCTTTGACACTAAGACTTAGATCAGAGAACGTGGATGTGATGATTAATGAAAATACACTACAATAAATATTAAAAAACGAAAGAGCAGCATAGTTTCTCTCTGGCTCTGCTGTGTTGGGCAGTTATGCTCAAATCTAGTCCTGGGGATCCACTGACCTCTAAAATTCCTTCTATTTCATGTCCCAACACAAATGATCCAACCAGTGAGAGCTTTAAATCAGCTGATGAGCTGGATCAGGTGGGTTGGGCCACTGAATACATGGACACTGAGAGAACCTGAGAAGCACACACTGCAAAAATAATATTTTAGTGAGTGTAAACATCTTAAATGTAGTCAATATGTCTACTATTTCTCATTATGAGACTGTTGTAAGAATATTGTGAGATTATTTAACTTATTTCTAGACATTTTTACTTGTTTTTAAGCAGTTTTATCTTATAAAAGTGTCTTATTTCATTGTCAGATCATGTTCCTTGTTTTAATCATTATTTCTTGAAATGAGCAAAATTATCTTCATTATTTCTCGAAACAAGTAAACTAATCTGCCAATGGAATAAGACACTTTCACCAGATAAAATCACTGAAAACAAGTAAAAATGTACAGAAACAGGTGGAATAATCTTATAATATTCTTACAACAGCCTCATAATAAGGAATATTAGATTTACTGACTACATTTAAGACGTTTTCACTTGTTAAGATATTATTTTCTGCAGTGCAGCTGTAGTGGCTGAGCACAGATACGGGTCACTCACTTTCAATGATGTCCCCAAGACCCTGGGCATAGAGGAGGTCCTTCAGTCGAGCCACTTCCTCCTTCAGCTCGCGCACTAACCGGTTGTTCGGGTCTTCGTTGATGACGGCGTTGCAGCGGATCTGCTTCGCTCGGTCGGCGTACCTGAGCAGCACACAAACACAGCAGCTAACGGACTTTTCCTATCTAAATCTGATGCCCTCCATTCTTAAAAAGGACGGTTCTTCAAGGGTTCTTTAGTAAAGGGAATGGTTCTATTTAGACATCTGACGTAGAGTCTACACAGAGCCATAGAGCCAGATTCTACATAGAGCCATATACAACATGTTCTCCTTCAATCCGAAAAACCTATACAGAACGGTTTGATGCTTAAAGGGTTCTTTGCATGGTGAAATGGCCTAAATGGTCTAAATAGAACCATGAGTTCTATATAGAACTATTTCAGGCTTAAATGGTGAAATGGTTTTTCAGGTTGATGGAGATTATGTTGCATATGGTTCTATATAGAATGTTTCTAAAAATGGTTCTATATAGCACCAAAAAGGGTTCTCCTATTGTTACAAGCTGGACATTGTTACAATAGTAGAACCCTTTTTGGTGCAATACACTCTTAAAAAAGATTCTTTAAGGGTTAAGTTCTTTAAGAGTTCTTTGCTAAAGATAATGGTTCTATATAGAACCCTGAACACTCAGAGAACCATTTGCATGCTTAAATGGTTCTTTGCATGGTGAAATCGTTCTTCAGATTGATGGAAAATGTGCTGTGGATGGTTCTATACAGAATTTTTTTGAAAAGGGTTCTATATAGTAATAAAAAGGGTTCTTCTATTGTTACAATGTCAAGCTTGTAACAACAGAGGATATATCTATATAGTTCTATATAGAACCATCTACAGCACTCTACAGTCTGAAGAACTCTTTCATGATGCAAAGAACCTTTTAATCATGCAAAGCTCTATATAGAAATTTTTCATGCTTAAATAGTTCTTTGCATGGTGAAATGGTTCTTTAGGTTGATGGAGAATGTGTTGTATATGGTTCTATATAGAATCTTTCTAAAAATGGTTCTATATAGCACCAAAAAGGGTTCTTCGACAAGCTTGACATCGTAACAGTAGCAGAGCCCTTTTTGGTGCAATACACTCTTAAAAAAGATGGTTCTTTAAGGGTTCTTTGGTAAAGACAATAGTTCCTCAGATTAATGGAGAATGTGCTGTAGATGGTTCTACAAAGAACTTTTTTGAAAGGGGCACTAAAAATGGTTCTTTTATTGCTACAATGTCAAGCTTGTAACAACAGAAGAACCATATAGAACCATCTACAGCACTCTGCAACCTGAAGAACCCTTTCATGATGCAAAGAACCCTTTGAAAGAGCAAATTTACGCACATTTTCCATCAGTTCTCAAAAGGGTTCTTTATAGCAGCAAAAAAGGGTTCTTCTATTGGTACAAGCCTGATATTGTGCCTATAGCAGAACACTTTTTGGTGCTATATAGAACCCTTTTCAAAAGGTTCTTTCTAAACCCACCTACAGCATATTTTCCATCAACATGAAAAAGAACGTAATGATGTAAGGAACACTCTGAGCATTCAAAGGGTTTTTTGCGAGTTTACGGTTCTATATAGAACCTTTTTTTTTATTAAAGAATCCTTGAAGAACTCCTTTAAAACTTTCAGAACAGGCTGCGATGTCTGACTGTCGAGCACGTTCCCCGTTAATCGTCCTGCCTATCATTAGATCTCTCACTTTCAGCTCGGCCTGTAATACGACCCTGCAGTACTGCGTGTCCTCCATGCTGAGGCTATAAGCAGCTTGCAGTTCAGGCCTGGACTGTTTTTAATATGGAGTTTCATCAAAACCATCCAAAAGGTCATGGAACTGGGTTTGGCAGACACAAGACAGACGGTTTACTGGTTTTTAAGGTGTTAGTTGATATGGAATCACCTGAGGGTGCTGAGGGTCTCGTCGTAGTTGATATCCGCAGGACTGAGAGCTGCTACCATGGCAGTGCGTGAATTCCCACCTAATCAATCAACACAGTCAGTGAAAACACAGGAATTCAGTGTTAAACTGACAAAATTAACTGTCAAAGGCAAAAAGAAACAACTGGGGACGTTTTATTGATGTTACTCAGTCAGAAACTGAGTTATATATTGAGAATTATGAAGCTCTAAGAAGCATTTTGGTCATAAAGCTTACTAACTTTAGCCCACCAGAGTTTCCAAAACACACTTCGTCATATTCTTCATAACTTTCATATTTCATAAGCTACATTCTAAAGGTGGGGGTCGTATGAGAGCTGTAACTGTCTTCTCTCCAGTCAAATAGATGGGTGATGTAATTTTAAACCCTTATAATAAAAGAAGCTGAACTCACTATTTTTTGTCTACTGAAAGTCGAACCATTTTTCCACAAATCTGGGCTATAAACGGGTGGCGTCTCTTCAGTGATCTGCTCTGTAAACATTATTTTTATAAAATAATACAAACAGCGTCGAAGATTTTTGGCTTTCAGCAGTAAATTGTAAGTATAGCAATATGTGTGATCATAAAACACTTCTGTTAATTTGAGGGGAGCTTTAACACAAAAAAAATAAAAAAATAAAAATCTACATTTATTTCATGCAGTTACTGAATAATTTGCCTTACGATTTGGTCACGTAAATTCAGATGGACAAACCAAAATATACCCTGGTCAATAAGAGGTTAAACCTTAGTGACCTCATTGCTCCAATATAATTAGACATCATTGTTAGTGGATTTTTTTTCGGTAAATCATTTTAACTTAACTGATCTGCTAATTGTAACGTAGTAAACACACTTGAATGGGAGTGTGGTTGTTTCTACATTGGTTGTATGAAAAAAGGGGGTTTAATGACAGATAATCTGAACACAAAAACGCTATATTTACTCAGAACCCTTGCTATCCTACAGCCAAAAAATGCACTATGAGGCAGCTAATCATCAGTTCCCCAGTGCTTTACAAGCGATGGCCATTGAAGTTATTCCAAAGTACATTAGAGGAGGTAACAGATTAAGACAAATACTGCAGAGGGAGTCATTCTGGATTTATACACTTAAAGCCGTAGAGTATCCTGGCTTGAATGAGGATATTGATTTCTCTCCTCTTCCGTCTACAGCTTCGTGGCTGAGCTGTTGTTGCTCCTAAGTACTTCCAGTTCACAATAATAGCACTTACAGTTGTCTGGGGCAGATCTAGCCAGGCAGAAATGACAGTGCCATGTTTAAAGTCACTGAGCTCATCAGTGCGACCCTCTACTGCCAGTGTTTGTCTGTCAAGACTCTGTGCTCAATATTATCCACCTGTTAGCAATGGGTGTGGCAGAAACACCTGAACTGAATTAGGAATGGTGTCCACATACTTTTGTCCATATAGTGTATGTGTATGTATGTATATGTATATATATCGCTGTTGTCAGAAGAAATCCTTGTATGTCCAAAATGCCAACTTTTCAGGTGAAGGAAAAAACCTGCTTTACTTCTAATGTAAGTCAGTGGAACCAGACCTTTCCAAGCCATTTTGGGCCGTTTCTGTGTTCGCTGTGCCTCGGAATTTCTGTGTTCTGGGATTTATTTTGTACATGCCTTGTGGACGCACATGGATTCTCTTGTTTTTAACACTCCCAGCATGAAATCATTACTTTGACTTTGCTGCACCCAAGCCATAGGACCACCTATCTGTTGGCTTCATTGCTGCGACCCCTGCAGCGCTTCCTCATTTTTGCTTTGATACCAGAGATTCAGTTTTGCCAAATTTAGTCTAATTCTAAGGTTCAGATCTAAAGAGAAATTCTCAAATATTTATACATCACAATAATCATCGTTAGGGTGTGAAACGCCTCGTACCAAGATTCTCCCTAAGCAGCCAGGTCAGTACAGAGTCTCTGTAGGGTATAAAGCTCTCTGCCTTCTTCTTCTTCTTGTTCTGCGGAGAAAAACATCAGTATCAGTTTTTAAAGCTATAACTGTGTAGAGATTATCTGCAAAACATGCACCTGCTCCTGTGTCAGTTTTTACCTTGTTTGGTAGAGAGTCCTATAAAAAAATGAAAGGGAAAGAAGATTTAATCTTCAACTTTCACACACTGGTTAAGCTCAACTGCAGTGCGACTGTACAACTGCCATCAGTAGCAAACGTAAAAGAATTGTCTTAGTTATCTTTGATGTACTCGAGTCAGATAAGCTCAATTTCTCACCATTTCAGCTAAAGCAGAAATCACTTTGCCAAGCGTTGTCAGGGATTTATTAATATTAGCTCCTTCCTGTAAACAGAAGCATGAAAGTCGTGTAATTTCACAGCCAAATCATTTCATTCCTTCACAAGACACACTGACAGAATCACATGAGACTAGGAGAGTTTCACCTTCAGTCTGGTCCCTTTGGCTCCAGTTGAATCAGCTCTTTCACTGCCTGCCAAGTCCACCAGGCTGATTTTGCTGACCTGCATCGAAGTGGAAAACGTTGCAGCTCAGCCAGATAATTTACTCTAATGCACAGCAGACTGAACTGCCTATCTGTGTCTCTACGCCACGTCCACATTTCAGGGAGCAGGTAGGAACCATTCCTGTCATTAAGACAGACTCCTTTAGGGAGCAGTGGTAGACATTACCTTTTCTGAGGTGTTGTCTGTGTCACTGTCATGCCGCTTCTGTGTGAAGATGATGTTGAAGACAGCGTGGGAGCGGCTGCTGGTCTCGTTCATGTTGGTAGCTGCCACGGTTCTGTGGCAACAAAAGACGGGTTGGGTTGTAGAAGTGTTGAACTGATGGCAACCAAAATCTAATTTAAAACTCTCTAAGTACTGATCAAGGTAATTGCTCATCTAATCTCATTTAGAGCTATCTAGAACCGACCAAGCTAACATCTGTTATAAAGCTCTCACTGGTAGCTGCCGCAGTTCTGTGGCAACAAAGGATGGGTTGGATTGTATAAGCATTGAATTGATGGTGACTAAAATCTACTCTGATCTAAAACTGCAAAAAATCATATCTTAACAACTGAAAACGTCTTAAATGTAGTCAATAAATCTAATATCTCTCATTATGAGGCTGTTGTTAGAATATTATAAGATTATTCCACCTGTTTCTGTACATTTTTACTTGTTTTAAGTGATTTTATCTGGTGAAAGTGTTTTATTCCATTGGCAGATTAGTTTACTTGTTTGGAGAAATAATGAAGATAATTTTGCTCATTTCAAGAAATAATGATTAAAACAAGTAACATGATCTGACAATGAAATAAGACACTTTTATAAGATAAAACTGCTTAAAAACAAGTAAAAATGTCTAGAAATAAGTTAAATAATCTCACAATATTCTTACAACAGCCTCATAATGAGAAATAGTAGATTTATTAACTATATTTAAGATGTTTACAGTTGTTAAGATGTCATTTTTTGCAGTGTAGCATTGTTTTCAGTTATATCTGTTTGTAAAGCCCTTTAAGCTGCTAAACTTTACTGTTTGAAAGGCATTCTATCCTTTTTGCTAATAACATTAATAATCACTGTTTATTGTTAATTACTAATATTAATAATATGTAATTTTTAAAATAAAATAATTACATTTTTATCAATGAGAAGAAGCTTGTAGGAACACTTACACTGCAAAAAATGCTGTCTTAGTGAGTTTAAACATCTTAAATGTGGTCAATAAATCTAATTATTATAATAATAGATTATTTAACTTATTTCTAGACATTTTTACTTGTTTTTAAGCAGTTTTATCTTATAAAAGTGTCTTATTTCATTGTCAGATCATGTTCCTTGTTTTAATCATTAATTCTTGAAATGAGCAAAATTATCTTCATTATTTCTCTAAACAAGTAAACTAATCTGCCAATGGAATAAGACACTTTCACCAGATAAAATCACTTAAAACCAGTAAAAATGTACAGAAACAGGTGGAATAATCTTATAATATTCTTACAACAGTCTCATAATGAGAGATATTAGATTTATTGACTATATTTGAGATGTTTACACTTGCTAAGATATCATCTTTTGCAGTATATCTAGGTCCTGATCAGGGTAACTGCTTATCTGATCTGATTTACAGCTATCTAGAACTGACCAAGCTAACTTTTAGCATAGAGGTCTCATTCATGTTGGCAGCTGCTATGATTCTAGGGCTGTACAGACTGCTGTACTGAAGAAAATCAAGCTAACAACTAAACCAAAACTTACCACAACAGACCAAACTTCAGGTTTAGAGGTCAGCTTGGGTTTTTCTACATGGTTCTAGAGGAGATCAGATTCTAATACAGAGCTATCTAAACTATCCAGGATCAAATACTAAAAACAATATGAACAAAAGATCAAGGACATTAAGTCAGCCAGTGCTGTACACACTCGAACGGTGGTTCTTCAAGGGTTCTTTGGTAAAGAAAATGGTTCTATATAGCACCATGAACACTCAAAGACCATGACTAAAGGGTTCTTTGCATCATGAAAAGGTTCTTTGCATCGTAAAATCGTTCTTCAGACTGATGAAGAATGTGCTGTAGGCGGTTCTACATAGATCCTCTTTGAAAAGGGTTCTATGTAGCTCCAGCAAGAGTTCTTTTATTGTTACAGGCCTGACACCATAATAATAAAAAGAACGCTTTTTGGTGCTATATAGAACCCTTTTCAAAAAAGGTTCTACAACATATCGTAGCACATTCACATCAGTCTGAAGAGCCCTTTCACAATGCAAAGAACCTTCTAATCATGCAAAGGGTTATTTCATTGTTCATTGTTCTATATGGAACCGTTTTCTTTACCAAGGAGGCCTTGAAGAACCATCTTTTTTAAGAGTGTACATCTGATTTTAGGCGCTTTACTTACAATAATGATTTATTTATTTTGTCTTTTTTATCAATATGATTAGACATTTTTAACCAGAATTAATTCATCAAGCTTTTCCCAAAAAAACAAAAAATATTTAAATCATTTTAGGTCAGAAATCTTTTTACTGGGTTCTCTGGTAAAGCTCCAAAGTTCTGCTGCTGTCCACTTGCCTGGCTTTGTTTCCGGAGTCCATCAGATCCTGGATGTCATTGTAGGACGTGACGGCCAGCTTGGACAGATCTTCCACATAGGGCCCCATTAGTGGATGCTCTCGCACTCGCAGGTTTCCTTTGTTTTTGGGGTTCAGCAGGTCACGCACACGCTCACAGTAGATCTCCATATAGCTGACCTGAGGATGCATGAAGGAACAGGTTAGAGCTGATCTAGAACACACCTGTACAGAAACTGTGGTCCTGCTCTCACCTCCACTGAGTACGACATGTTGTTGTCACCGTTGTCGTTAATCTTGGTGAACAGGTCTTCACAGAGCTGTCAGAGAAACAACACACACAGAATAAAAATGTGGACATACATTTCTATTGCATTGCAGTCCATGATGATTTACACCAATCAGGCATCACATTCTGACCACCTCCTTGTTTCTACGCTCATTGTCCATTTTATCAGCTCCACTTACTATATAGGTGCACTTTGTAGTTCTACAGTTACAGACTGTAGTCCATCTGTTTCTCTGATACTTTGTTAGCCCCCTTTTTACCCTGTTCTTCAGTGGTCAGGACCCCCATGGACCCTCACAGAGCAGGTACTATTTGGGTGGTGGATCATTCTCAGCACTGCAGTAACACTGACGTGGTGGTGGTGTGTTAGTGTGTGTTGCGCTGGTACGAGTGGATCAGACACAGCAGTGCTGCTGGAGTTTTTAAACACCTCAGTGTCACTGCTGGACTGAGAATAGCCCACCAACCAAAAATATCCAGCCAACAGCGTCCTGTGGGCAGCGTCCTGTGACCACTGATGAAGGACTAGAGGATGACCAACACAAACTGTGCAGCAGCAGATGAGCTATCGTCTCTGACTTTACATCTCCAAGGTGGGCTGACAAGGTAGGAGTGTCTAATAGAGTGGACAGTGAGTGGACACTGTTTAAAAACTCCAGCAGCACTGCTGGAAAATACATGTAAAACATATTTTTAAAATGCATTTAACAAAGACATTTTTGGCCATTTTCAGACATTAAAAATATACTTGATAAATAAATGTAGAAAATCATTTAAAATATATATTTAAAATATATTTAACAATTTTTTTTGCCATTTTCCTACATTGCAAAAAATATTTCTGATAAATACATTCAGAATATATATGTTTATGAATATATATATATTATATAAGTAATATCAGGGCCTTTATTCCACTATGCAGTGCAGCCCCTCGGCGGTTCTTCCTCGGTCTCTCAGAGAGTTTTTCCTTGTGAGTCTAGGGATGTTCTCCTGACACTGTCTCCCTCTGAGAGGTTCTGCTGTTATAGAAAGCACCGTATGAATAGAACCGAACTGAGCTTGAATAAGACATTACCAGAGGAATGATGCCCTGCTGGTCTTTCTCCTGTTTGCCCATCATGGTGTAAGACTTTCCAGCTCCAGTCTGGCCGTAGGCGAAGATGCAGACATTGTAGCCTTCAAACGCATGGAGGAGCATCTCTTCTCCGATGTCTTTATACACTTGTTTCTGATCGGCATAGTTAATATCCTCCGGCTGAAGCACACAGAGAGAAAAAACAATAAAAACAATCACCTGATCAAAACTTCTCATATATTAAAATCAGATACTCTTTGACAAAGATAAACAATACACAGGCTGCGTTTTCGAAAAGGCGGTTCAACCAAGAAGCCAGAAAAAACTTCATACGAACGTTGGGCCTCATTCACCAATATCCTCCTAAGTTTGTTCTTAACCCTCTATTGCATGAATTATTACTTAAACATGATAAAAATGTTTTAATGTGTTTTTGTTATTTGAAATTGCTTAAATAATGGAAATATTTGAAAAAAAAACAAAATTTAAAGTGGCGTATTTGGTAAATTGTTGCCATATGGCAACAATGCGCAATCATAGCACAGAACAATAAAATGTAAAAAAAAGCACCATAAAATATTTTTTTTTCTAAAATCATAATTTTATTGAAAACAAGACCAAACAAATCTTATACTTAGTAAAACGTATGACCCAATATTTACAAATATTGGAAATTAATACAATTTCAATTGGTATTTGCAATGTACGGTAATAATAACATCATAATAAGAATTTCTGGTCATGTGATGTGATAAAGTATTTGTCCCTTCAAAGTAAAAGACCCTTTTTCCACAATTAAGTAGGAAAACACAGATTTTATGTCACTGCTTTTTAGTAAAATTGAGATAAAAGTAATTGTTGCCACATGGCAACACCGTGCAGTAGAGGATTAAATGAGAAAGACCCTAAGAAAACGTCTACGTCAGATTCAAGACGTGATCTTAAAGCGCAGAACTGTTCTCACCTTTGTGCTCTTGAGTGTGTGTAGATCCTGTTCTCACTTACGAACAAATCCCAAATAAGAAAACAGTGGTGAACGTCAGAATCGTCCTGAAAACCGTGTAAGCTGGTTTAAGAAGAAACTTCTTCTTAAGACCGGTTGGTGAACGAGGCCCAATGTTATTACAGTGAACAAACTGAGGAAGCGAGGGAGCTCAGACTCACCGTTGTGTGAGACCAGTAAGAATAGTCAAAGTTGAAGCTCTTGTTCTCTTTTGGCTGTTTCGGGTTTATGATTGCTGGGAAATAAGAGAGATTATTCAGACAGAACCACAGAAACAAACATCAACAGGGAGAAAATATGACAATATACTGCATATCACTGCTGTCGGAAGAAAACCTTCTCAGTTTTTGACATCATTTGAATATATATATATATATATATATATATATATATATATATATACCTAAAAATCCAACAACTATATATATATGTATATATATATGTATATGTGTGTGTGTGTGTGTGTGTGTGTGTATATATACACACACATATATACATATATATGTAGTTGTTGAATTTTTGACGTTTTCCAGTTTTAGATATAATTTGAAAATATCTGTTGCCCTTTACATTGTGTGATAATTTCATGATGAATGGACTAAAAGAAACGACCCAAAATGACATGGTAAAAACTCTGGTTCCATTGACTTACATTAAAAGTAAAGTATGTTTTTTCCTTCTCCTGTAAAGTTACCATTTTGGACATTCAAGGTTTTCTTCCGACATACTGCATACAACAGGGAGCTACCTGACAGTATACTGCATACAACGGGGAGCAAAGAATGAAAGGTACCTGTCTGAGCATCCATCACAGACAGCTGTAGTCCTACCTGAGTTTAAAACAATATTTCTTGTTTTTTCGCTACTTTAAAGGAATCATATTAGCAGCACTAACAATTTGGGTTATATGTTATTTGCAAGTTAAGGCCTATTAGCAGTACCCTGCAAAAAATAGCATCGTGTCAAGTTAAATCATCTTAAATCTAATTAACATGTCCAATATTTCTCCTGTTGAGATTGTTTTACGCTAATTATAAGATTATTTTACTCATTTCCGAACATTTTACTTGTTTAAAGTAATTCTATTAAGTACATTTATCTCACTATACTGGCAGATGATTTTGCTTGTTTAAGAGGTGGCTTAAATGAGATGATTTCACATAATAAAATTATTCAAAACGAGTACAAACTGTCTAGAAATAGGCTAAATAATTGTATAATAAATGCGCAACCATTACAAAATAAGACATATTAGATATATTGACTAGAATTAAGATCATTTAATTTGACAAGATACTTTTTTCTGCAGTGTATGCAAACCTATCAAGCCAATTGGTGACTAATAGCTTCCAATAAAGGTTATATATACGAAACATTTTAAGCATTAATATGGCAGCAAACAACTGTTTTCTATGTAAAGACAGTGCAGTAACAGCATCCTGATCAGAGAATGAAGCCACGCCCCCTCTGTGTGTAATCTGCATGCATGTTAGTCCCACCCTGTGAAAACGACGGCCCTCCCCAAGTTTTGTTTTGCCCTCCCCAGACAGTGACCACGCACACAGCATTGAGCATGCACCTTTTTAAGGTGGAACGGGAAAACTGGAACGAGCAGCTGAGGCGCTCAATGTTGTCTTAACTGCTGCACCTTTTAAGGTGGAACAGGAAAATTCAAACAAGAAGCTGAGGTGCCGAATGCAGTCTTAACTGCTGCACCTTTTAAGGTGGAACGGGAAAATTCGAACAAGAAGCTGAGGCACCGAATGTAGTCTTAACTGCTGCACCTTTTAAGGTGGAACGGGAAAATTCGAACAAGAAGCTGAGGCGCTGAATGTAGTCTTAACTGCTGCACCTTTTAAGGTGGAACGGGAAAATTCAAACGAGAAGCTGAGGCGCCGAATGTAGTCTTAACTGCTTTACTTTTTAAGGTGGAACGGGAAAATTCAAACAAGAAAAGGCCACTTTATTACCCCTTCCCTACAGCTCTAGCTTGCTAGTTGTACAACTACAGACTGCACAATTCGTGTTAGCCATCCTATAGTCCTTATCAATGGTCAGTTTCTGATCAATTGGCTGGTGAACCACTCTTAACCTTGCAATGACAACGATCACTACCATGTCAGTATCACTGCTGAGCCGAGAGTGGTCCACCACCAAATTAATATCTGGTCAACGTCAGTCCAGTGATTAGAAACAGACCAATGATGAATGGCAAATAGTGGGGCTGGGAAACTGTGGGCCACAGTAAATGCATAGGTAGCTCATAAAGTGGCATGTGAGCGAAAGTGAAGGGCAGAGACTTCTAATAAGGTTAACAGAGTGTATATCAGGTCATGGTCATCTGATGGAGATCCACATTAAAACCTCTATATTCTCAGAAAAAATGATGTCTTAGCGAGTGTAAACATCTTAAATGTAGTCAATATATCTACTATTTCTCATTATGAGTCTGTTGTAAGAATATTGTGAGATTATTTAACTTATTTCTAGACATTTTTACTTGTTTTTTAGCAGTTTTATCTTATAAAAGTGTCTTATTTCATTGGCAGATCATGTTACTTGTTTTAAGCATTATTTCTTGAAATGAGCAAAATTATCTTCATTATTTCTCGAAACAAGTAAACTAATCTGCCAATGGAATAAGACACTTTCACCAGATAAAATCACTTAAAACAAGTAAAAATGTACGGAAACAGGTGGAATAATCTTATAATATTCTTACAACAGTCTCATAATGAGGATATTAGATTTATTGACTACATTTAAGACGTTTTCAGTTGTTAAGATGTTATTTTTAGTAGTGTAGTGTGGACAGTTATGTGTGACAGATTGGTCTGACATAGCATGATGCGTAGCATGCCGTCCCCCGGACTGTGGGAATGAGGTCATTAACCCGCGCTGCTTCCACAAACAGTCACAAAGCGCTGCAGTGTGCTGGGCATCACATCCTGCCTCAGCTGACTCTGTTTACCCACTCACACAAAGCAACAATGAGCAGTTCACTGCCTTCGCCTCTGCTGTAGAAACACGAAATCCTGGTCCAAAAAAAGAGGCTTTGTGTCTGTGCATGTGAACGATGTGGGTAAATACAATGATCAAACTTGTTTCATCTTCTGGTTCTGAAATGCGAGCATGCTGGGACGGACATGGACAACCAAACGCAGGGATCCTGTAAAATGTGCTTATGGCTGATGCTCCAAAGGAGCGCATGACATCTCAACACTCACGACACTGAAGATGCACTACAATGTTCATCAAAGCTTGGAGATCCGTTTTTAATGTTCTAATAACTGTGCAGGTTGTCTTTGGTTTGCAGTGACTGACTTGTTAAAGACTAAACAGATCAAGAGGGAAATAACGTCACTGATTTATCTGTGAAAACAACTAAATATCTTTAAATAAACAAGAAATAAAACAAACCAAAAAACAACAAACAAGTCAGTCAATCACTCTTAAAAAAGATGGTGCTTCCAGGATTCTTTAGTAAACAAAATGGTTCTATATAGAACCATGAACACTCAAAGAACTCTTTGCATGATTAAAGGGTTCTTTCGCATCGTGAAATGGTTCTTCAGATTGATGGAGAGTGTGCATGAATGTGCTATAAACGGTTCTATTAAACCTTTTTGAAAAGGGTTCTTCTACTGTTACAAGCTTGACACCGTAACAATAGAAGAACCCTTTTGGGTGCTTTACAGAACCATTTTCAAAAAGGTTCTACATAGAACCATTGAAACACTGGCTATAGAACCATTGGCTTGACACCGTAACATTAGAAGAACCCTTCTGGGTATTATATAAAACCTTTTTCAAAAAGGTTCTATGTGGAACTTTTGATCATTGGCTATATAGAACCATTGGCTTGACACAGTAACAAAGGAAGAACCCTTTTGGGTGCTATATAGAACCATTTTCAAAAAGGTTCTACATAGAACCACTGAACCATTGGCTATAGAACCACTGGCTTGACACTGTAACAATAGAAGAAGCCTTCTGGGTGCTATATAGAACCTATTTCAAAAAGGTTCAACAGAACCATTGAACCATTGGCTATAGAACCATTGGCTTGACACTGTAACAACAGAACCCTTTTGGGTGCTATATAGAACCATTTTCAAAAAGGTTCTACATAGAACCACTGAACCATTGGCTATAGAACCATTGGCTTGACACTGTAACAAAGGAAGAACCCTTTTGGGTGCTATATAGAACCATTTTCAAAAAGGTTCTACATAGAACCACTGAACCATTGGCTATAGAACCACTGGCTTGATACTGTAACAACAGAAGAACCCTTCTGGGTGCTATATAGAACCTATTTCAAAAAGGTTCAACAAAACCACTGAACCATTGGCTATAGAACCATTGGCTATAGAACCATTGGCTTGACACTGTAACAATAGAACCCTTTTGGGTGCTATACAGAACCTTTTTCAAAAAGGATCTACATAAAACCATCTACAGTACATTCTCCATTAGTCTGAAGAACCCTTTAACCATGCAAAGAACCCTGTAATCATGCAAAGGGTTTTTTGAATGTTCACAGGTCTATATAGAACCATTTTCTTTACTAGAGAACCATTAAAGAACCATTTTTTGAAAAGGGTTCTATATGGCACCCAAAAGTTGTTCTTCTATTGATACAAGCTTGACTCTATAATAATAAATAAACCTTTTAGGGTGCTAAATAGAATAAAATAGGTTCTGCTATTGTCCTGCTATTCTTACAGGCTTGACACTGTAACAATAGAAGAACCCTTTTTGGTGCTATATAGAACCCTTTTCAAAAAGATTCTATATAGACCCATCTACAGTGTATTCTTCATCAGTTTTAAGAACCATTTAATGATGCAAATAACCCTTAAATCATGCAGAGGGTTATTGGAGTTTTCATGGTTCTATATAGAACCATTTTTCTTTACTAGAGAACCTTTGAAAAACCATCTTTTTTAAGAGTATAGTGCACAGCTTTTATACATCGACACATGAAGAAACACAACTGTAAAGGAGATTTTTAGAACTACGCAAAATAGATGCTGAACCTGTTTCAGTGGCTCAGCAGTGGTGCATCTATGTGCATTGTGATGTTTGGAAAGTGAGGTGTCCCCAAACTTCTGACAGGCAGTATTTATGCCCTTGTTAATGAGTTTTGACAAGAGAGGGTGTCAATTAATATTTCATATATGTATCATCCATTATTGACGCATGGCACAGTTTATCAGGCCTCTCTTGCTGAAAAGCATTCGCAGAGTAGCCACGTTTACATGCAGCCAAATTATTCGCTAATAATCCGACTAATAGCTCAATCAAAATAGAACACGTCCCTGTAAACAGCTCAGTCAGAATAGTCTAGTCCGATTGAGGCCATTCGGAATACAATTTCTATCCGTCTGATCGAGGTGGGTAATCCTGTAAATAATCCATTAAATAGAAGAATAATATCCGTGTAAACGCCTGTATCTGATTACATTCCCTATCAGAAAGTTTAAGTCCGTTCTGATCATGTTCGTCACGTCATAGTGAGAGTTTATACCGTTCAACATGGCGGAGCAGAAACTGGTCTGCAGAGGAGACGAAGTTTATGCTCTGGTCTTTAAAAGACGGCGGTGGGACGGACGTCCAGCTTATGTGTCTCAGAACACGACGCCTTCCTCTCGGCCTTCTTTAATAAGGACACGTGAAGGACGTTTTCCTGAGTCTGACATCATTTTAAAGCAGTTAAAAACACAAGCACTGCTCACTGCTGCTCATCTCACTCTGACTGGACTCATGTGATGCTGGTTGTCATGGCAACATCTACACTAAGTGGTTCTCTACGTATTCGCGTAATTTTGGATCAGATTACTTGTAGTGAGCATGTAAACGGAGATTGTCCATCAGATAGTTGAACAGAGTGAGCAGATAAACACCTCAGTCTGAATCTATAAAAGGAATGTGTTCAATCAAATTGGCAAAAATCTTTGCATGTAAACACAGACAGTGCGGAGTTTAAGTGAGGCTGCCCTAAAGCACAGGCCTGGTAAGCCACTGAAAGCACTGACATTCACCCAAAGAGTGCAGAATACTCACTGGTGGTGTTGCCAGACATCTGTATGATGCACTTGCTCTCTTTCCCAATTTCTCTGGAGTTGAAGGGTCGGACCCTCACGGCCACCTTCACGGAGGCTCCAGCCATGGTGATGGAGTGCTGGAGCTGGACGCTGTGGTGCTGGATGAAGGCTTAGAGCAGCAAGTCCAGAAACTCACGGCTACCTGCCACCTGAGGGGGACAGTATACAGGTCAAAAAGCAGCACAGAGCAGTCCAAACATATCAAAGCTTGAGCAACGTACAATTACACAGAACCTCAAAGTGACAACATGAGAAAAAAATCTAATTTACATAAATCTCATAAGTTTTTCTCTGTAGGTCTGCTCTGGGGCTATGAGGACAATGTCCATGTCCAGTGTCAGAAAAGCAAGTCTATTAGAGATTACTCACAGAAACTCCACCAATTTTTCAAAAATTCTACATAATTAAATAATTGAGATGTAAACAGAGCCGTTCAGAGTGGTTTGGTGTGAAACGCTCTGTTCTAGAGAAACTGTTCACAGTGGTGGTGATAGGAACCAGACGTCCACCTCCTAAAAGCTCCCTCACAGAAAGTTACTACATGAAATGGTTATGAATTCACTGCCTGATACCCGAGACACTGTTTTATGACAATGTTTTGGCTTAAAATGTATTTTTTACCCCTTTATATTAATTAAAACTGGTGGAGGGGTACATGCAGGGTGTTATGAGGCAAAATAGTCCACAAAGAAAACTTATTATTTCAGATTTATCACCATTTTACCATCATCAACATTCCATATAAACATTGGATAGTAAATAAAATGTCTATATTTGTGTTGTAGTCATGGCGACCCCTGGTTCCTATCACCACCACTGTAAAGACATCAGAACCATTTCACACCAAACCACTCTGAATGACTCTGTTTACATCTCAAAAATTTAATTATGCAGAAATATATATATATATATATATATATAATATATATATATATATATATATATCATACACATATATGTACCGCTATTAGTACAGCTGCTATTACTACAGACACCAAACATGTCTGGCCTTTTGTCTACATATGGAGGGATTCAAATTAGCAGTTTAACCTTATAAGGTAAGCATTTCAAAGAAGATGTCAAGATCAATTGCCCAAGATCTGATAACTCAGCAGATACACCATGTCCAGTCAGGTCCTTATAAATCTGTGACTGACTCTCATGACTGGATTTAATTTAGGTAATTGATCCTGACCATGACTCAACATCGCCATCTCTGTCTTCCTGCTCAAAGATTACTGCATTCAGAGGTCTTTCATAAGATTTTAATGCGGCGGTCTCTAAGCCTGCTCCTGGAGAGCTGTACTCCTCTGGAGTTTCAGCATTAATCTAACACACATTCAGACTTTCCAGAGAACCTCGTTCAGCTGAACCTAGTCCTTAGATTGACGCTGGTGCTCAAACATGTATGAGGGCTGATCTGCAAGAGGAGCACAGATTCCACTTATAACGTCAACTCATCAACAGAACAGACAACAGAACTAAATGACCACAAAAAGAGAAGAGCAGCAGCATCACGACAAGCTGGACGTAATTTGAAGCAAACCAGCGAAAGAGCCACATTTCAGCAATAAACTATGAAAAAAGTATAAAATTGTTAGTAAAAATGTAAAGTGTGATTACAAAGAATGCTTTTAGCATGGTTTAAAACACACATCAGGGGTCATATTACAGAAACTACGGAGCCCAGCTGGTAGTTATATAAAAATAATGCGTGGGAATGAGATGACTAAGTTGTGGCCACGACTTAGTAAGGCGTGGGAATGAGATCACTTACCAAGTCGTGGCCATGCATTAGGATCTCATTCCCACGCCTTACTAAGTCGTGGCCACGTGTCATTTTCATTTATACAGGATGTCACCGGCAGCGCTCCGTAAGAAACTTCTTAAGTCTGAAATCTTATCTTATCTGCTCAGTTACCATGGCAACTTTATTTAGGCCTGAATTTAGGACAGAAGTTAGTTATTACAGAACAACAGTTATTAAGTCCATGATCTTATCGTCAACTCCAGATAAGAAAACAGTATTACAGAAACATCCTAACTAGACAGAATTTCCTAAATTTTGTCCTAACTTTAAGATCAACCCCAGAGCGTCTTAACTTCCATTTATCCGTCTGTTTCTATTGTTCTGTGCTGTGATAAGCAGCACAGTTCACTATATATAGCATAATGACGCCTCATTTATCTACACTGAAAACGGCGCTTTGACTCGAGTTTTTTCTAGCAGCGTTTTAAAACCCCAGACGCTGCAGACTCGGTCTCCACCGTCCCTCTGATTACCTTCGTGTGTTAATGTTGATGATGAAATATTACAGCGATGGTGGTGAATAATGAGGAGACGGAGCTGAACGTGTGTCTGTTTATTAGGAGGAGTAACGTTAGCGCGCTCGGCTAAAGCGTTTGGGAAATGGAGACTGAAACTGTGGAGCGGCGACTCTGATAAACAGCACGAAGCGCTGACACAATATTCTTAACTTAAAGTTTATCTCGTTTTAGTTCTGTTTGACCGCTTTTTAACCTCAGTAACGGTAGCTAACGTTAGCTATCTGGCTAAACTAACTTGATTGTTTTGATTACTGTAATGCTGTGTTCATAGGACTTAATGCAGGTACAACCAACAAACTACAACTTGTGCAAAATGCCACAGCAAGAATATTAACATGACCAGAAAACAGCATCATATTACAGCAGTTTTAGCATCACTGCACTGATAATGATACCTTAGTGAGTGTAAACATCCTAAATGTAGTCAATATATCTATTTCTCATTCTGAGACTGTTGTAAGAATATTATTAGATTTACTGACCACATTTAAGAAGTTTTCACTTGTTAATATTTTATTTTTTTGCAGTGCACTTGCAGCAATATGAATAAATCGCCTACATCCCTAGAAAACGACCGGTCACTTGTCCCTCCATTGCCTGCTAATGTGACCGCAGGGAAAGCATTCAGTTCTTGTGGGGTAGAAAAAAATTCATTATCAAATATCAGTTTGAATTAGCGGTCCAATCTAAACACTGGTCGCCAGTAAATGTCTGTACACAAGCATCTGCTAATGCTGTTATGCATCCCCAGTGTTTCCCTACTCTCTATGTGAGTAAAATACCCCTACTTATTCCTTTGAAAATACTTTCTATATCCTCCCTTTACCCATATGGAAAGACATATGGACAAGTGTGTTTATATATTTGAAATACATTTGAAATACATTCCAAGCACTAACATGTATTTCGGAATATTTTGCCATATTAAACAAATATATTTTAAAATACATTAATTTTTATTGCAAAATGTTTGAGGAAATACTACACACAGAAATGCACCATACAAAAATAAATGTGTGTAAATGTGTTTATCAAATTGAAAATGTATCAGTACTGTTCATTCAGCTCATGTATATTTAGTGTGTATATATATATATATATATATATATATATACACACATATAATATTTTATATCTGCAATCATTGTTAAAACTACACACCATTGAAAAAATATAATCACAAATGTAAATCAATGCATTTAAAAATATATATTTAACCGATACATTTTTGGGCATTTTCATATACTGCAAACATGTATTTGATAAACACATTTTGAATATATATTTTTTCCATTTGAGTACATCATACATTTTAATTTCCAGTTCCAGAAACAGTATCCAAATGTCCCTGTCCAGCGCACTCTCAGCACTGAGAAGCAGCCACCAATAAAACTAATACAGAAATATTATAATTATCAGGAAATTTCTCATTAATTTGAGCAATCTTAGAAGATCCCTTAGCAAACAGGTAAAACTTCTCTAGGTTGTATTCGTAATTTATAGCATTAGAGATTTGAGCCCCCAGCCTTTTTTGGAAACAGCGCAAAACACTGTTTTACACTAATTAAACTGCAGATTAGAAACAATTCATCATGTTCAGACTTCAGACACACAGTATACTCTGATACTGGGAAAGTGATGTGTACACTGGAAAAAATGTATCTTAAATATAGCTAATAAATCTAATATTTCTCCTGTTGAGGTTGCTGTATGCTCAATTTTAGATTATTTACTTTATTTCTAGAAAATTTTGCAGTGTACAGTTTAGACTCCAAGGCCCGAGCAAGACAGAGTGTTCCTGTAGTGACTTTGCTGATTGGTGCTGATGCTGCTTGTTATTATTTGTCTCTGTTCAAAGTCACGCCAGCGAAATTCAATAGAAAACAGTTTTCACTGTGGGTAAAAATACCACCATTAAAACAGAGGGGCATCTAAACAGGACTCTTCAAAAGACCACCTCCTTGTTTCTACTCTCATTGTCCATTTTATCAGCTCCACTTACTATATAGGTGCACTTTGTAGTTCTACAGTTACAGACTGTAGTCCATCTGTTTCTCTGCATACTTTGTTAGCCCCCTTTTGCCCTGTTCTTCAGTGGTCAGGACCCCCATGGACCCTCACAGAGCAGGTATTATTTGGGTGGTGGATCATTCTCAGCACTGCAGTAACACTGACGTGGTGGTGGTGTGTTAGTGTGTGTTGTGCTGGTCTGAGTGGATCAGACACAGCAGCGCTGCTGGAGTTTTTAAACACTGTGTCCACTCACTGTCCACTCTATTAGACACTCCTACCTTGTCAGTCCACCTTGTAGATGTAAAGTCAGAGACGATAGCTCATCTGCTGCTGCACAGTTTGTGTTGGTCATCCTCTAGTCCTTCATCAGTGGTCACAGGATGCTGCCCACAGGACGCTGTTGGCTGGATGTTTTTGGTTGGTGGACTATTCTCAGTCCAGCAGAGACACTGAGGAGTTTAAAAACTCCAGCAGCACTGCTATGTCTGATCCACTCAGACCAGCGCAACACACACTAACACACCACCACCACGTCAGTGTTACTGCAGTGCTGAGAATGATCCACCACCCAAATAATACCTGCTCTGTGAGGGTCCATGGGGGTCCTGACCACTGAAGAACAGGGTAAAAGGGGGCTAACAAAGTATGCAGAGAAACAGATGGACTACAGTCTGTAACTGTAGAACTACAAAGTGCACCTATTTAGTAAGTGGAGCTGATAAAATGGACAATGAGCACAGAAACAAGGAGGTGGTCAGAATGTTATAATGGTATGTTTTATGTATTTTATATATTTACTCCACAAGTTGTACTGTTAATTTCTTTCCATTTTTAAAGGCCTAATCAGGGACTGGGGCTACAAATTAGCTTAAGCTATTTGCCCAATATACATTACGTGTGCTGTGTTCTCTGTAGCAATGTTTATCTGTATTGTAACGGTCAAATCAGCAAATAAAATAAAATAAAAATGTTAAAAAATCTGCAGATATGTACATGAAAAAATGTTGGATATTGGCACCGACCCACAATTCCCACATCAGCACATCCCTTATTCAAACATGTATCGGAACGCAAGATCATTAGCAATGAAAACCCTAAAACAAGCACCATAAATATCATCATCAATGCAAAATACAATTCATAATAAACTTGTAACTACAATGTCACCATAAACACAAAATATGATCTATAAGCACCAAAAAAAAAGAAATGTAAATTATGATTTGAAAAATAGCATGTAATTGTTAATTAATTACTAATTAATTACTAGTTGTTAATTAAGCACTAAAATAAAAATGTAAATTCTCTGACTGAACATGTTCCTTCATGGTCCAGATAACGCATGTGAGTGAATGAGCGTCCATTCATCACATGCGGTGTCTCGGTCAGCGTTCAGGACATTAATGTGCATTTCAGCAGGATTTTATCAGCCACACTGCACCACATATGTTCACTATATTGAAGTGCATTCATCAGGACTGTAAAAATCGCTCTGCCCCATATCTGCTATAGGTAAAGTGGGTGATCAGACACGTTCATGTGACGCCAAAGTGCGTCAGCTTCCTAACAAAAACAACACATCAGCGGTCATCGTCATTTTCTTTTATCTTCAGCAAAGCGGAGAGTCATCGGTTAATGACTGCAGGAGGGCTTTGGGATGCCTCCGTAAAATAAATGCATTATATCTTGTTGTCGTGTAAGGAGCTGCATGCTGCTCTGTACTGACATTTAAACCTAAATTCAGCATGAATGCTCTGGGTTAGACTGAAGGTCGGCTTTTGAATTGGAGAAAAAGCACATATTTGATCACAGTAATGCATTTTAAACAGATTTTAGCTCTAGAATAATTGCAGCCTCCACCATTTTGTGTCCAGAGTGCCTCCACCCCAGCTCTAAAGCAAGACACACACACACACACACACATCACACTGAGACTCAATACAGAGTGCTGGAGCAGCCTGGCATTCAAAAACAAAAGGGTTTTTACAGTAATGGGCTTCTTTTACATTAGAAATCTAATGGTATTGAGTCAATGATGCCTGAAGGAGCATAAGGCCAAAATTTCAGAATTTCACAACTCAGATATTTACACTAGATTTAATACTATCAGATGCAGTGTTGTAATATATTGCTCTTACACTATAATAAAATATGTATCATGTCCTGTCTGCTTATATTCTCCGCTCAGGATGTCAACAGACCATTGGAGGCCTGCTGGACACAACCACAGCAGAGAAGCAAACAGCCCCTTTCTTCAGACACTGAGATCAGAGAACAAAATTAGCACAAACACACAGAAAGCCATCAGTTTCAAACGCAAAGCTGTGATTTCGGCTGCTGCACCTACCCGATGACCCTGACGGCAGAGTCCCGGCGATCCTCTGGATGTTATTCCATGTTATTCTGCTGCTCTGTTTGTGTGTGTGTGCTGCTCGGCCTCTCCCTGCCTCAGACTGAGTGGGGAGGGGGGGGGGCAAGACGGGTCTGCAGGGCCTGGAACACAGTGGTGCGTCAGGGCATGGGTGGGAGGGGGAGGGAGGGAGTGAGAGAGTGAGAGAGTGAGAGAGAGAGAGAGAGAGATAGAGAGAGAGAGAGATTTTCTGCCCAGCACAAAATGGCTGTGATGCTGGAGCTGAGGATGCTGAACAGTGGTGAGCCGGTGATGACATCACCAGCGTCAGAGCTAGCAACACACAGAGGGAGGGGGAGAGAGAGAGAAATGAAGAAAGGGAGGGGGGAGGGAGGGATGTAGCAGGAGGGAGCGAGAGACAGAGCAACAGAGGAGGAAGGAGAGAGAGAGAAAAACAGGGAGGGAGAGACAGAGAGACAATGATGCTCAATGAGCAGGAGGGAGAGAAAGGGAGAGTGAGCAAGGAGGGAGGGGAGGAGAGAGAGGGAGTGAGAGAGAGAGAGGAAAGGACAGAGGGAGGGAGGAGAAGAAAGGGGCAGTGAGAGAGAGAGGAAAGGAGCAAGGGAGGGAGATAGATGGGGGAGTGAGTGAGAGAGAGAGAGAAAGAAATGAAGGATTAGTAGAGACAGTGATAATTTTGTAATTGAAATTAAACTTAGTTGCCTTAAAGCTCTGAATGTTTATCATTCAATGACACTTTGGCAAAACTAACTAGCATTTCATACACACACACACACACACATATAATATATATATATATATATATATATATATATATATATATATATATACACACACACACACACACACAGATATTCAGCAGCTGGGACAGGGAGACTGGTCAGGGTTGAGGGAGGAAAGCTGAATAGAGCAAAGTACAGAGATATTCTTAATGAAAACCTGATCCAGAGTGTTTGGGACCTCAGGTTGGGCCGAAGGTTCACCTTCCAACAGGAGTGTTTTCCAACAAACAGTGACCCTAAGCACAGGGATGACTCTGTGAATGTCCTTGAGAGGCAGAGCCAGAGCCCTGACTTGAACCCAATTTAACAACTCTGGAGAGACCTAAAAATGGCTGTCCACCGACAATCCCCATCCAATGTGACAGAGCTTGAGAGGATCTGCAGAGAGGAATGGCAGAAAATCCCCAAATCCAGGTGTAAAAACCTTGTGGCATCAAACCCAAGAAGACTGGAGGCTGTAATTGCTGCCAAAGGTGCTTCAACTAAGTACTGAGTTAAGGGTCTGAATACTTATGTGAACGCAATATTTTAGTTTTTGCTTTACAATGAATAGAAGTTGTGTGTGTGTGTGTGTGTGTATATATATATATGTGTAAATATCTACATCTATCTATATATATACACATATACACACATACATATAAACACATGCATAAATACATATTTGTATATATTTAGACACACACACTAAAAACTAAATGTATTCTATGATACTTTTTGTCCATTTACACACCATGCTGATTTTAAAGCGGTTAATAAACAAGTATTGATGGTGTTTCTTTTAAAGATGGTATACATTATTTTTATGTAGCAGGTAAGTATTCTAAAAGTATTTTCATAAAAAATACAAAAAGTAACTGTATTCTGAATCCTGCCTTTACAAAATGTATCTTCGACTGAATACAAATACTTAATTTCTGTATTCTGAGTACGTATTTCAAGCACTTGTATTCTGTTACAGCCTAACACTGCATACACACACAGCCTGTGTCATCTTTCCTTGAATACAAAAGTCACAGTATTAAAAAAACCTCACAGTGCTGCATCTCTCTGGAAAGCATCTCCCACATAACTCAGCATGAACAGCCTGTACTGCTCTGAATCAGGCCACTGTAGAGAGCTGCTGCCTCCAGCTGTGCAGAGACAAAAAAAGATCTTTAGTCACATCCAGCTAAAGATTTTCAAGTTGTGCGTGTTCAGTGTATCGATCATTTGTCTAAACTTGGACTGTCACTATCGATTATATGAGTAACAGAATAATCTAGCAATTATTTAACAGTTACTCAAGTGATCTTTAGACTCAACAAAAATGGGCTCAACTGAACAATAACACACTATTTGGAGCCTTTTAAAGATTCCAGAGTACTTTATAAATACTATGTGGCAAAAAATAAATAAATAAATAAAACATGGGTGTCCATGATGCTCAGTTTCTGTAAAAAAAAAAAATTGTAAAATTTGCATTATAAGTACCTGCAAGTATCAGAAAATTCTGTTAAATGCATTTCAAGCATAGATATACATACCTAGATGCGGTGTTGTCTGTCATTCTCTATGTAAGGCGATACGTCTGCACGTCCGCCATGTTGGAGAGGTCAAGATCCGCTTGTGAACAAACTCACTTGTATTGAGAGACGAGAGTCTCAGGATTAAATCGGCCACAACTTCCTTATTACTCAACCGATTTTCACTAGATTTGTTTAGTTATAATCCTCAGACACAGATTAATCCAGGCTGCACGGATCTGCTCTCGGTAGCTTTTATTACTTTAATAACTGATCGTGATAATTAGCCGTCCGGACCAGCAGAGAAGTATTCAGTCTGCACCCGACGTTAAAAACTGAGTTTAGCACGAGAAACACAATCAGACACATCAGCAGATCCATCAGTGTGTGAATCACTTCTAATCTTAATACACATAAAAATAAAAGAACCCCCCCACCCCAAAAAAAAAAAATAAGAAGGGCGAAGCTAAAGTTGGCTTCCTATTCGCCAGCTTCTTGTTAGAGTTTTCCCATGCTGCACCTTTTAAGGTGGAAGTCACTTTCTGGTTCTGAAGCGGCACCATTTAAGCTGGAACGGGAAAATTCGAACAAGAAGCTGGCAAGTAAGAAGCTTACTTCAGGTTCGTGTAAGAAGGTGCTAAAGTTAATCTATTATGAATATCTACATGGATTAAGGAACGCTGTAACTTACTGAGCTACAAAGATCTCCTGAATAGACTGTTAAATGAAATAAGCTTAATATAAAACCAGAGGAAAAACAATCACATCAACAGGTTCTCTGTTCCTCACCCACCACACAGCCATATCTACACAAACATCACACAAACATGAGTGTGGATCGCTGCCTTCTCTCCATTATATACCCCTGTCCCACTTTCTGAGTGTAATATTCTTGAAATAGTGTAATTCTGGACAGCTATCTTTCCTTAAACTGCCGCTCTGTAATGGTACTGAATGCAGTCCAGCAGCGATGTTGACCGTCCTAAAATGGCTGCGCCGTTGCCGTGCCTGGCTGGACCCAGCGCGGCATCTAGGCATGTATATCTATGATTTGAAGTCATTTTAATGCCATTTCAGAACTCTTTCCTTTCGTAATCCTCTCATGACTGCACGTATTATTATATAGCAGTGTTTACACTTTATAATCTTCACATGATAAGGAACCTGAACACCACCACTGCAATACCGATAAGTTCACTAGTTCTAGATAGAACCTTTTTGAAAATGGTTGCATATAGCACAAAAAAGGATTCTTGCATTGTTACAATCCTGACATTGTAACAATAGCAGAACCCTTTTTGGTGCTAACGTTATATAGAACCACTTTCAAAAAGGTTCTATTTCCTTCAATCTGAAGAATCGTTTCAACATGCAAAGTTTCACCATTCAAGCATAAAATGGTTCTATATAGTGTTTATGGTTCTAAAGAGGACCTTGTAGCCCTTGTAGCTAGTTAATATCAGACAAAGTCTAACGATAACAGTTTCGGGCCGATTCTGGCTTTCCTATGTGAGTGTTGGTTGACTGCGGGTAGATGTTGGGCATGCGGGCCAGAATAGGGTCAGATCGTGGACAGCTTCATCCCATTTTGCCTCGTGTCTACATTTGTGGGACAATTCTGGCGTGAATGTTGTGGACCAACAAGGTAGTTGGGTCCAGACTGGGGCCAGATTTGGGCCATATCCTTTAGTTCTTCTCACTTTGCAGTGTGTGGGCCAGATCTGGGCCAAGGACCCAGCCACATACTGGGCCAGAACAAACCAAGGATGTGGCCCACAAGTGGACCAGACGAAATTTTGCTAACTGGGTAAGGTTTGGGTTAACTTAACTGTTACCAAATGAAGATAACCAATTTGACTTACCATTTGAATTATCTGAAGTTTGCTTGTTATTTCACCCTCCTCAAACCCTAAACAAATCAAAAAACATCTAACAGTCAGTTTTAAGATACCTCAGTAACTAGCCAGCTAGCTAAATAACTGCCAGGATGGCCTATGGCTATTCACAAGGAACTAGCTATCTAGGTTATCTTAGGTCATGACGAATTATCATTGACATGAGTGTAAGTTAATTAGCTCAGCTAGTTTATCGTGTATGTTTATCCACGTATCTCAGGGCAACACTGTTAGAACAACTCAGAGAAGCTCTGTTTTGTTTAGCTGTTAGCTGTAAAGTTTCAGCTAATGTAACTATTGGCACCATAGATATACACATGTAGATGCCGCATTAACGGCTGTTCTCCATCTGAGGCGATACGTCTGCGTGTCCGCCATGTTGGAGAGGTCAAGATCCGCTTGTGAACAAATTCACTTGTATTGAGAGACGAAGAGTCTCGGCCACAATTTCCTTATTACTCAACCGATTTTCACCAAATTTGCTTTGTTGTAATCCTCAGACACAGATTAATCCAGGCTGCTCTGACTGCTCTCGTTAGCTTTTATTTCTTTAATAACTAATCGTGAAAATTAGCCGTCTGGACCATTCAGTCAGCACCTGACGTCAAAAACCGCGTTAAGATCGAGCTCCGGTAGAAACACAATCTCACACACATCAGCAAATCCATCAATCCAAATTCATCATTAGATTTCTGATAAGTTTCGACTGTGTGATGTTGAATGATGTTGCTATGCATGTAAACCCACACAATGGTGTTTGCTCGATCCCTCGCCCCTCAGAGGCCTCTTCTAACACCCCTTACCTGAGCTAATAAAATAAGGGAACAGTATTTAAGATGGCGGTGGAGGTTCCCCCGAGAGGAAACAACGAGGCCAAGTGGACAAACGCTTGTTAAAACCGGTGT